CATCAAATACAAGGATTTAATAAAATAATATACAGTCCAAACACTCGGTGCCTCTCCTCCCATTTATACCTTACCATTCCAAGGACTGTTTGACAGCATTTCACTATCTTTTGTGGAAATTACGCACAAGCAAATATCCTTTAGCGATCACACATATATTACCCCTAATTGCTCCAATAGTACGTAGTAACGAGGCCAAATATTTAAGATTGTTTGCCGCAAAGTATTACAACTTCATCGTTGCAGCCATTGGTATCCCCACTATATTGATTCAGTGAGATATGTTGAAAGATCTGAGTATGTTGTAGGACACGTTGCTAGCAGTACAGAAGCTCTCGGATTTCCTCGGGCTCACGAGAAATGACGATTTGTGCCGAGCGATTGTGGACAAGTGCACGTTCTCCCGAATGGTTGTGGACAAGGATCCGTATTCCCGGAAGGTGGATGGTAAAAACGTCCTGTACAGAAAAGGTAAGACAGATGTGTAAGGGGTGTCGTCAAGCGTAGACCTGGATCTTGATTCCATAAACCATATGTCTGATTTGAGTATATTTGAATTCTTAATTGTATATTCCGACCGTGACTGTTGCGGAGGTCTGTAAATAATCGTGTCTGGACCAGACAATCTAGTGATCAACAACAACTTGGATACGATGACATACATCAAGGAAGTGAGCCAGTCTGACCACCCTATCTTTTAGTCGCCTCTTACGACAAGCATGGGTTGCTGAAGACCAATTCTAACACGTATCTTCACGGGTCCAGTGCAGAGTTGGCCTGCTATAATCCAAAATCCATATTTAGATTCCTGGCTCGTCAGCACTCCATTTTGCCCGTTGGTTTAACCATATTGGTAAGGGTGTAAGGTCTGAATTGTTCCTGGCTTTGCTGGCACGTTAATCGTCCATAATATAACTGGAACCCTGTTAAACCGAAGTACTTGACTAATACAAACATTCTAATAATAAAACAATGGTAACACTGCTCACCCCGGGATGAACCGTTTCAAGTGAAATGACCTGAAAACACATTTCTGGATTAACGCGTCATTTGTTATGTCCCTTTATGATATCAGGATCCGGGATGAATGGATCGACGGGTTATCACAATATATGCTACTTTTCAGGTGTCGTTGGAGACTGGAGGAACTGGTTCACGGACGAGATGTTGGAGGAATACTACCGTGTGTATGAGGAGAAAATGTTCGGATCAAGGTTTTACGAAAGGTATGCGAAACAGAGGCTGGTAGGATGAAACAATGTGTCCCTGTACCAATGTTGACTGGAGGAACTGTTTCACAAGATGCTTACGGTGTACCTCCGAAGATAAGATGTCATAGTCGGTGTTTCACTATAGATATCATGTTAATCAGATAGTCCATAAGGTGAGGGAGCAGTTTGAAACTTGAGCAACTTGCCTGATTCGAGGAGGGGGTGAAGAGGTAGTACCGTGTGTCTACGAATGGTGGGATAAGGATCTAGGTTTTCGATAATCCATAAGGTGAGGGTGTAGTTTGATACTGGAACAACTCGCCTGATTCAAGGAGGGGTGAAGAGGTAGTACTATGTGTCTGAGGATGGTGGAATATGGATCTAGGTTTTCGATAGACATGTGAATCAGAATCCACTCGGAGGGAATGAAGAAGTAATACTGTGTGTCTGAGAATGGTCGGATAAGGATCATTCTAGTTTTACGATAGTCATGTGAACCAGAATCGACACGGAAGAAGCGATGCCTGTTGTTCCAGGTTGAGTTATTTTCTGGAAGACCTCATCTGGGTCACGGAAGAGATGACGGGGTACAACTGTGTGTCTGAGGATGGAGGGACCTCAATGTATGAAAAGATGGCTTTTATATATAGAATATCATCGGAACTTGCAGAATTTACTGGTGTCGCTCAGTGGCGCGTCTGTATAAGATCTACCTGTCTGAGGGTAGCATAGTCACTGAGCTGTATGTTACTATATGTAAAATATATTTCTAAATAAGACCGGGTTAGAATGTGCCTTCAGTAACCCATGCTTGTCGTAAGAGGCGACTAACGGGATCGGGTGGTCAGGCTCGCTGACTTGGTTGACACATGTCATCGGTTCCCAATTGCGCAGATCGGTGCTCATGCTGTTGATCACTGGATTGTCTGGTTCAGACTAAACTCACTCACTCACTCTAAATAAGACAAATCTGATCTGTAACTCAGTCCCTAACTTTGGAGTCTACCTCACTGCACATCGGTGTGGATCAGTTTACCCCGTCGAATGGGCGAATTGTTCTCATGCTGTCGTCCACCAGTTTGCCTGACCAAGCTTCGTTTATATACAATTCTTTGTGATACAAAGGTCTATAACATTCACAGGTCGTATTGTCTATGATCATTACAAAAAAGTCTCGTATACATTCACTAACACATATTCCTAAAAATTAATTTTGGAATTCCCGATGTCTAAGGCGTAGCAATTCGCCGTGCAGAATTGCGACCCTTGAACTCGCCAGAAACATATGATCGTAGGTTCGGATCCCGGTACGGGTGAAACGGATTCGAACTCACGATTATGTTTCCATGTTTATCATCACCATACCCGACCTCGTGGATTTCACCAATGACATAAACGTCTGAGAGCTGCGTTACTTTGGGCTGTCCTCCCACATTAAACATACACGACGTGAATTAACCAGATTAATGTTCACTAACTCACTATTGGCAATGGTTGGTTTGTTGTTTAACGCCGCATTCAGCAATATTCCAGCTATATGTCAGCGTCTGTAAATAATCGAGTCTGGACCAGACAAACCAGTGATCAACATCATGAGCATCGTTCCACGCAATTGGGATACTATGACATGTGTCAACCAAGTCAGCGAGCCTGACCACCCGATCCCGTTAGTAGCATCTTACGACAAGCATGGGTTACTGAAGGTCAATTCTACCCGGATTTGCACAGGTTCTATTGGTAATGATTTCCCTTGAATGTTTTGTACACTCGAAGAATTCAAGCTTCAACAAATGAATTGAGCAAATGAATTTATTTTTCTAATTTACGATGCTCATGTGTTTGAGATCCTGTGTAAATTAAGACGCACTTTGCCGCTAGGTGTCGCTCAGTCGTCAAGACAGGCAGACCCACAGATCCTGTAGCAGCATCCCATCCACCTCCTGTTGTTGTAGTCAGGTCTTCCGGGATAACCCCCTCCTGGGTAACCAGGGTAACCACCGTCAGGGTAACCACCTCCTGATCCAATGTTGTTAGCGCACATTTGGACCAAGGAATGGTTACAGTTGTTCCTCTTCGGACGACTGGCTGTCGAGGAAATATAGATATTGGGTTAAACATGAGTTGAATTGGAAAATCGCCTGCGTTATAATGTGGGGGGTTTCTGCATTGTCGCATTGAGAGACCCGGTGTTAAACGATCAGATATAGCCAATCAGATGTTTGCTTTCATAACGTCTTCGGGTGGTGGGGTAGTCTAATGGCTAAAGAGTCCGCTCGTCACGCTGAAGACAATGTGTGAAGCCCATTTCTGGTGTCCCCCTGCCGTGATATTGCTGGAATATTGCTAAAAGTGGCGTAAAACCATACTCACGTATCTAAAGCCCTGTCCACATATCTGGGAAATCAGACCTGATTATACAATTCCGAATATATCATGAGCATGTGTTATGAACCACTATCAAACAGTTATGATATCAGGTGTTAGCGGAAAGGTGACCGTATGTACGCTTAGGTGTCAAATCCTGAACAGCCAATGTGTAATTTGGAGAATAATTAACAGTTTACTAATGAAAATGAAATTTGAATTGACAAAGAAAGCTATGTCCGACTTGTGTGTCTGAGCATGGAATAGATTTCTTCTTTGAAAAACACAGAATATATACATACAGCATTTAATAAACATGTATATTCTGTCGACATTGTTGTTACTATTGTAATATCGTAGCGTTGTGTAAAATGTTTGAAATAATTAGCGTCACATAATTCACATCTTGGTGTTCGAAATTTACCCCAAGAAGTATCGCTACTCGATCAAAAGAGAGTGATGTATTTTCAATATTTTCCAAAATACATGCACTATAGAAACAGACGTTATTGATCAAAGCTCCGAATCTAGGACAACAGCCATGGTATTGTCATGTCCGATATCAGCTCTACGTTTGTCAAATAGCCGTATATCTTCATCTGCAGTCCGTTTGATTTCATTTGAGACCGGTGAATTGCTCACTAACACAAAATCTAATAATTGCAACAAGGTAATCAACAAGCGTGTGTAGTGAAATTTCAATTTCACACGTGCAACTCGCACACCTGGCTGTTCTACCAGCAAGTTGTCCCCCCTCGTAAAAATAGCGAAAGGTGACAACAAAATAATGATCGTTTAAACAACTTTTTAATTCGGGTGTCCAAACTTATGATACAAATCATCAGAGTTGGTATGTTGATTTCATGTGACTGTACACAATTTGGTTTTGTTGCAATTACTAGATTTTGTGTTAGTGAACAATTCATCGGGCTCAAATGAAATCAAACAAACTGTATGTAATTGATAATTAATATCATAATCAATAATCAGCAATTTGGAATGTATGATAAATGGGAATTTTCTCTTCACTACAGCGTCTACTGTTATCGCACACAATGCTACAGTGAAACATTAGAAATAAAGTGTTACGTTGACGACCGAAGACGCGGCCACCAGCTGTTACTGTCGACGTGATAACATGGATTATCTTTCGGGAGTACCATGGAGTACGTGCTGTAACGCCCAGCCTTCAGAAGAAGGACTACGCTGGGATTCAGCTGGTACTGTTTGGGTTAGTTGATACTCAACAACCATTATTTTCAAGAACAAAAATGGGACAGGGTCAAAATGTCGACGTGTGGGAAGTATAGCGTTTAAAAAAAGTCGGGGCATATTCCATTTTGCGGGCATTCTACTAGCCAATTCCAATTCCAATGTCCATACAGATGAAACATTTCCAAAGGAATGGAATACATTGTCACATCGTCCCTTAATTTCTTTACATCGTCTGTTTCCCCCTGAGTTTCATCATTTGCATTTTATCAATATTGTAAATCCAATATCCCCTACTTTTTGGAATGGTATATATAAGTTGTTGAAGGCTCATGTGCGAGTTCCGCGTGAGAAATATGCGTGATGTCGGAAAACGTAAAATCTCCAAATCATCATCACCGTGAGTTTAAGAAGCTTCATAGTCACATTACTTCTGTGACTGATACGTCCGTCTATGAGGCCAGAAACACCGCATTTAGCGATATTTTAGCTACATGACGACATAATAGTAAATAGTGCTAGCTCACTGAGATACCATGTCGCAGTTAAACATGAATACCCCACTCAGACCCAGACTGACTCCGAGCCGACCAGTCCTTGTTGTACCCATTAATGCCGAGCGCCAGGCAGGGACCAACAAGTACCATATTTTAACATCTTTTGTTATGACGCGGTCGAGGATCGAACCCGCGACCTTCCGCTCTCCGGGCGGATGCTCTAAACACTACACCACGGAGGCGGTCCTACAAATAATAGACTCTAGACCAGCCAATCATATGATTGGCACCATGAGCATCGATTGTCGCAATAGAGATGACCAGAGACGACCAATAGAGACGACCGCAGTAAATGATACCTAGCTGCGCTATTGCGTGTAATACATAAGTGACAAGTCGTGACCAGGCATATCAGTGCAGGTAAGCATCAGTCACGGTCCAGGCCGGGTATGGTGGCTGATTAGGGCCGTCGCTTTTTCGTCTTAAAATTTGGAGGCGAGAAAGCGATAACACTATTGGCCCTAATCAGCCACCATTCTAATCAGCCACCATACTAACTCGCATACCCTCTTTAGCATCTTTACCCATGACGATCCCGGTTAGAATTGGTTTGCAATACTGCCGATGTGACAATATATTTAACTCATTCACTCACTCACTAACTCACCATATTCGACGAGATTCGACTACAAGTCAGCGCGTCTGTTTACAAGATACTAAACAGTTGCTACATCACTTTTCAATGGCATTTAGACCCGTGAAGATCCAGGTTAGAATTGTCTTCAGTAACCCATGCTTGTCGTAAGAGGTGACTAACGGGATCGGGCGGTCAGGCTCGCTGACTTGGCTGACACATGTCATCGTATCCAAATTGCGTAGGTCGATGTTCATGGTGTTGATCACTGGATTTTCTGGTCCAGACTAATTTATTTACAGACCGCCGCAATATAGCTGGAATATTGCTGACTGCGGCGTGATGCAATAGCGCTATATAATAAAACAACAAGCAAACCATCTTTAGCATCCTACAACAAGCAATACCCACAGGGTTGTAGCCTTTGGTGGACCGCCTCCGTGGTGTAGTGGTTAGAGCGTCCGCCTGGAGAGCGGAAGGTCGCGGGTTCGATCCCCGACCGCGTCATACCAAAAGACGTTAAAATATGGTACTTGTTGGTCCCTGCCTGGCGCTCGGCATTAATGGGTACAACAAGGACTGGTCGGCTCGGAGTCAGTATAATGTGTCTGAGTGGGGTATTCATGCTTCACTGCGGCATGGTATCTCAGTGGGCTAGCACTATAAAACCAGCTTAAGTCTGGGCTAGTACAAACAGCCGCACATACACATACACACGCATGCACGTCGTCATATGAGCGAAATATTCTCAAGCACGACATTAAACCCAATTTCACCTCACCTCACCTTAACCTTTGGTAACACAGATGTTGATACATGAGGTATAACTGACCACTAAGCATTGACTTACCTCCTATAGAGTTGGCGGAGCAAACACCAATTAGGGCGATGAAGACACACACAAACTTCATGATGACGGTACCACGGTCTGGTGTTTCTGGTGGTCCACGTGTTTTATACAAGATGGAAGTGATGAAGCGTTGATATCCCAAGTTATGTCTGTCATGCTTCAACACTACTGACAGTAACTGTTGCGGGTGTTCAATTTAGATCGTGAGGATAACGGACAGATTGACAGGATATGTTATGAGTTGACATTAATATTGAGCACGTTGATGTGAAAATATTCATATATATGACTCGGGGACAGGATGTCTAGCAGTTGATTAAAACTGTTCGTGCTCAAAGACACAAGCCTAGTGGTTAAAGCGTTCGCTCGTCACGTCAAGGTCCCGGGTTCGATTCCCCACGTGGGTAGAATGTGTGAAGCCTATATCTGGTGTCCCCGGTCGTGATATTGCTGGAATATTGCTAAAAGCGGCGTGAAACCAATATAACTCGGTTGCGCACTCAATAAAAGACACAAATAAGCCAGGGCCCCATTGCTAAAAGCTATTTTAAGTTCCATTCACTTGCAAAATACTTGTTCCCGTACGTTAAGGTAACCTCAACGTTGACAGCTTTGTTCAACCAGGGCAAGGTCTCACAGTGTATGTACTCGAAGCCTCAAATCGGCTCCTCCACAAACGTGATATCGATGCGCCTTAATAAAACGACGCAACCTATCCTTGGTTCTGGTTGTTTTGGTGCAAGGCTATAGGTCTGCATTACATCAGCACCATGCGTTAACTCTTCCAAATGTCATGTCGTTGTGACTAGTTGTCTGATGCCTGTCGATGATAATCTTGACCAGGTGAAAACGTGTCTGATGTATGGGGATGATAGGCTTGGCCAGGTGACAAGGCTGTTGATACCAGCCGATCAGTTCATAGACAGACAGACAGGCACTAGCTGACATGCAATAATGTACCTAAAATGCGCCACAACAAAAACGAACATTATGTATTTTAATTTAATATGCACAGGAAAATGTTGATTCACGATGAATATAATCACTTATTTTTGGTATAACATATATTTGTTTTTATAATATACATTTAGGCTAAGCTGGTCTACATGGCAATCTGTGCGTGTGTGTGTGTGTGTGTGTGTGTGTGTGTTGATAATGATGATCATGATGATTTTACTGCTTTAAATACCTAGCTAGCATACATAACGTCAGCATATGACACTGATTGTGCTGTGTGTAGCCATAATACTTAGGTACAAATTTCTGAAGATCTAGAAAAGTCAGTGAGCAGAACATTGCACACAAGTGACTATTATGGTTTTAATTATTACTTCTATTTACTTGCGCCAAAGCTTAATGTTAATTATTCCACGCCGCATATAAGGTACAACATTTAAAATAGGCAACATGCAACATGCATGAATTATTTATGAATCACCGAGTCCGTAGACGGCCAGGAACAAAGTTGCTTGCCAGCTAATGACGATAGAGAAACGTCCATGAAACTCCAATTAAAACAATAAGGCCGAGAGATGAACCTTGCCGCATACCACTGTTACATTTGTCCGACATACAAAAACACAGAGCGCTGAATCCACCGTTGGCCTTCTTGTATTCACATCCCTCCTCGGACACTTTCTTGTAGTGACTGTCCCGCAGACAGAGTCGTGACTCCACAGACATATCTGAAACATAAACGAGATGCAATAACCATCATTGAACCCCATGTCACATAAATATAAATCATTATTGATTCTCGTGATACAGGCATTTTATGTAATCTTATCAATTGTATCAGTCATAGATTATATTGTTACATTTAAAATAAGTCTCATTTAATATTATCATATGAAATCATATGCCCGGAAAATGATGGTCTTGGATTTTGTATAAATGTTAGTATTCACAGATCAGCTATTATATTGATCTTGCAACGTATTTTTCAAGATTTTTAACAGAGTACTGCTTTGTAGGCCACGTGTTGCACAAAATGCTAGTCAAACAGTTATATATTGAAAAGCCAGTTATCATTTTAAATTAAGACTATTAGTCTAAAGATATTTTTCAGAAACACATCTTGTCGCAAAAGTTGTTTGTTTTCAGCTGTAAGAGTCCATAATCATTAGTATCTGTATTATCAGGATCCGGAATAACGAGGTGTGTTCATTTCATACCGTTCGTTTCTCCTATTCTGTCGTGCACACGAATCAATGTGAAGGACTTCATACACGCTCGGCAGCCTGTTTCCACTCTGGCTTCAGTGCAGGGGACGAGTTTGCCATTGGCAAAGATATTACACTCGTAGCAACTTAACTCTGAAGTAGAGGAGCACACATATGTTGGTGTCAATTTTGAGGCTATACTAAGAGTTGAAGTGAGTAAAGATGGGGGGGGGGTGGGGGATGGGGGTGTGTGTGTGGGGTGTTTGTTGTTTCACCCCAGAGGCAATAATAATGATAATAAGAGTACTTTTATAGCGCCTCATCCACATCACTAATTGACATGCTCTAAGCGCATACAAGTCACAGTTCATTATTACCCCATATAACCCAAGGTGCCTGTTAGGCGCTGGAAGGTTATAGTCATATGATCTATCCCACCGGGTATCCATTTCAGCCAAATGTCAGCTTAATGTGTGAGGACATCCCAAAGTGATGAGATCTTGGACGTTTACCTCAACCTGTAAACCAGGTACATGGTCATGGTGCTTATAGACTTTGACACATGATCGGGGTAAACCGGGATTTGAGCCATTAAACATAGATTTCTGTCTTGGCATGGGAGCGTCACGCAGAATTGCAAATAGCGGTACCCATGTCCCTGCTGCTACAGGAGTAAATAACGGCGACCTACGCTGCCCATAAATACATGTGCATAAACAACAGAGCTGTCGATTGTAAGATTAAATGAATCCACAACCGAATATGACAATCGCTGGGGCGGTGGGGTAGCCTAGTGGTTAAAGGAGAATACTAGACAATTGCAATAATTTGCTAGGTGAAAGATAAAGTCATCAGAAACATGTACCCCAAAGTGTTATTTCAAAAATATGCTTTTTAATGTTTTAAATCGCGAAAACAGTTTCTGTTATCCGAGCTTCGGCCATTAAAGTCGTCAAAATGCCCCAATTTATTTAAAATGATTAAATATGTGCCATAAATGCCTAGTTTTTGTCAACTTTGATGCTATGTTCTTCATATAAAAATATATACATAGTTATGAGTTTTTCTAATGGAACATTTATCAGAAATATTATTTCCTAATAACTTTTATATGAAGAACATAATATCAAAGTTGACAAAAACTACAACTATGCATTTTCGGCACATATTTAATCAGTAAGAGAGTTCACATGAGCTTGAAAATGTTCGCTTTAACGTTCTTTTCGGTTTGGAGCCGTAAATGCTGCAGTCTACCCAAAACATTGCCGAATACAATGGCAAATCATGAAGTACTTGTTGCTTTCATTTTTTTCAATTTTGTCCAATTACGCACGTCGGCATCAGACTCGCTGTTTGTCAGTAGTGTGTTCCGTGAAAGTTGTTCTGTATTCTCATTGGCTGACAAGATGCCATTCTAAGGCTATGACCGAGTACCATAACTATTTCCATAACCAAAAACTAGGAAAACATACATTGTCCTGACTAGTATTTTATAATTCACCAGTTTTCGGGGAATAACTCATCTGCGTCGCGTATAATATCTCTGCTCGACCAGGCTGGGATCTTGGATGGAGATTTGATACGTTATTAATGATCTATAGGGGTGGGCTTGCTGGTTGGAACTGTATCACATTTTGCTGACAAATAGTATTTTGACAGCAAGCGGTGCCTCCGTTTCGCTATTCTTCTTCTCGTCTTCACTGGAAGATTGTCTTGAAAGATGTAAAATCGGATCGTATTGATACGGTCTAACATCCATTTCAGAAATGACATCAGGAACATCTTTTACTGCTTCAGAATCCATGGACACTGTTAAGTTGTGAGGTAAAATCAAAGAGGAAGCCATCAGCAACTGGCACATATGACGCCATGTAACGTGATACCCCCTCTGCTCATTAACTGTTGGGTGGTTCCGTAATAGGCGGAAATACGAGTACGATTTTTGTGTTTTATTGCGATTTTACAAACTTTTTGTTCAATTTTAATCACGGAAGGTGACTTTTAGAATGCCTTTACCCTTATCAAACGTTTTGTTTTCGTTCGCATTCACATTTAAAGACTTCGCTCGTCACGGGTTCGATTCCCCACATGGGTACCCGGTAAAATGTGTGAAGCAAATCTCTGGTGTCCCCTGCCATGATATTGCTGGAATATTGTTAAAAGCGGCATGAAGTCATACTCACTACTCACTCACTCACTCACTCATTTGTTTACCTACCTGCACATGTTACCCCGGCGTTACAAACGGCCGTGTGCTTGTCCACCCTGGGTCCTGGGCAGTTATTTTCGGCGTTCTGACAGAATCTTGACCTGGTCATGACCTTCTCGCCCGTTCCGCACGTGACGGAGCACGGCTCTGCTGACCACTGTAACCACTGACTCCAGTTGCTGGACACTGAACACTCACGGAAACAAAACACGTAGTAGGTCATCAAATCATCACACTGTGTGGTCAGTAAATGTTTACAAATGTAAGAATGATAAAGCGTTCTAGCCTAACGTTGGGGTGGTGTGGTAGCCTAGGGGTAAAAGCGTTCGCTCGTCACGCAGAAGATCCGGGTTCGATTCCCCACATGGTTACAATATGTGAAGCCCATTTCTGGTGTCCCCCGCCGTGATATTGCTGGAATATTGCTAAAAGAGGCGTAAAACTAGACTCACTGACTCTAGCCTATCGTTGGAAATGGTACAATCAGGGACGGCCATTTCTAGAGTCTTTGTATTGCTGGATTATTGCTGAAAGCGGCGTCAGACTATATTCATTCAATGACTTATGAATAACCTTTACATCTGTGTTCAAATGTTCGGGACAAGGCAATAAAATGAAGATTATCTGTTATCAGTTTGTTTTAAAAGTCTAGAATATGAAGACAAGACTCGTACCTGTGTATTTGGGAGTGAAATCCTGAAATTATTTTGCATGTAAAATATGATCGGGTGGTCGTTTTCATGTATAGAAAATAGTTTCTGCTTTCTTTTCTTTTCGTTCTTCTTCTCATTTTCTTTGTTTATTGCTGTCGCTTTCGTTTTGGGATGTTGTGTTTTGTGGCCTTGTTTTTAAATACTAGACGGGGCGGTTGGGTAACCTAGTGTTTAAAGCGTTCGCTCGTCACACTGAAAACCCGGGTTTGATTCCCAACACGAGTAACATATGTGAAGCCCATTTCTGATGTCCCCCGAAGTCTTATTAGTGGAATATTGCTAAAAGCAGCATAGCAACATACTCACTCACACATTGCATGGTGTAAGCATGATACAGTGCAACTGACAGTACACTGACTGAGTGAGTGAGTGAGTTTGGTTTACGCCGCTTTTAGCAATATTCCAGCAACATCACGGCGGGGACACCAGAAATGGGCTTTACACATTCTACCCATGTGGGGATTCGAACCCGGGTCTTCGGCGTGACGAACCAACGCTTTAACCACTAGGCTACCCCACCGCCCCACTGACAGTACAGCAGTCGTGGAGGGTGGCATAACGCACTAGCCTAATAGGCCCACAAAGCGAGTGCTGAGGTGATCGAAGCTCCCACTTTTTTTGTGCGATCTTCGTTGCACAAAGCACACTTTGTAGAACGGGCCCTATTCGGACAGGGGTATTATGAGCGTTTACAGTTGTCGCACATCATTTCAACAATCTTTATGTGTGGCAGTAACTGATCTGTGTAGGAATGGGATTGTGATGGACTTGGTTGTAGACTGTAGACTGAGGACCAGGGTGCCGTTCCACTAACCGATCTTATCTAAGATCAATCTTAGCAAGTTACGCTAATTTTACAATCGTCTTAGCTAAAAGTTACACCCGTTCCACTACCCGATCTTAGGCCGATCGTAGCCGGTCCCGATCTTACGATCCGATCCAAGCTTAGATCGAGACTCTTTCGTGCGAGAGATAGAGGAATGCGAGGCACGAGTTATCTCTCTTTGCATAGTCTAGCAAATGATGGAAGTAGTTTATGAACCAACTGAGTGAGTGAGTGAGTTTAGATTTACGCCGCACTCAGCAATAGTCCAACTATATGGCGGCGGTCTGTAAATAATCTAGATAAGATGCATAGCGTTCACTAACATGAGCGTTTATGTTAGTGAACGCTATGTATCTTAGCTATAAATAATCGAGTCTGGACCAGACAATCCAGTGATCAACAGCATGAGCATCGATCTGCGAAGTTGGGAACCGATGACATGTGTCAACCAAGTCAGCGAGCCTGACCACCTGATCCCGTTAGTGGCCTCTTACGACAAGCATGGGTTATTGAAGTTCAATATTCTAACCCGGGCCTTCATGGGTATTTTTCCAACCAAGTGTAAACGTGGAGAAAAAACCTAGAGCAAAATATTAGGGTAGTGAGCACCTTGGTTTCAGGTGCAAGTGCGTGTGAACGCTGGGTATCAGGCATAATATAATAATAATAAATGCATATTTATAGTGCGCCTGTTCCACATCCTTGGGCATGCTCAAAGCGCTATGTACAGATAATTTACACGAGAGTATTTACAGCCGAGATTATAAGTAATATAATGAGAACAGGTTTTAAGTCTGGACTTTAAAAATGTCAATTGTGTCAGAGCTTTTAATATGTGCCTGAACTTTGTCAATCAGAATAAACAAAGGCGTGACGAGGCATCCTCTATAACGTATCTAGAATCTGTCAGTGGTCTTGAATAACACGCGGCCTGCCTTTAGAATCCCCCACCAAATAAGCGCACGTGAAATCAAACATATTTGTATCTTTTTGTTTCAGAAGATTGTTCACTTCATGACCCGTCCCTATTCTTAACCATGACGTTGCAATATTGTTGTACAAATGTGTTACACCGACTCGCTTGGTTGTGTTCCCATGACGACAGTGGTCAGACTGGCCTGACATTTGTAGGGCTTCAGTGCAGTGTTTGTTTACATCACAGAAATATACAAATTCATTTCATGGGGGATTTTAGGGGACGCTCACGGTGAAATTGCTCTTATTTTTCACATAGAATAGGAAAGCCACCATTTTGGTTTCTCTACGATTGGTTTTAACTATCCTAAGTTGGTCATGAGCAACTTAGACTTTGAATCTTAACTTTACGATTGACTTAGGTAGGATTGGTTAGTGGAACGGTATGCCGATCGTAACGTCACGCTAAGATTGGGATTTTAGGGGTTTACGATTGGCATAGGGCTAAGATCGGTTAGTGGAACGGCGTCCAGCAGTGTAAACGAACTTCGTTGTGGACTAGCAACTTGTAGGTAGATGAGAAAATACATGTACGAATGTATAACATTGTGGGTGAATTAGCAGCTAGGGCTGGGACGGGTAACCCGGATACCCGGGACGGGTGGGTAATGAGTTGTACCCGGGTACCCGCCTCAATACCCGGACCCGTAATGATCATGTGACTAATAGATTAAACAATGTAACAATTGTTCTTTCATGATTAAAAGGTTGTATTGTCTTTGATGATTTAGACTTAATTTACAGTCACTTCTTTTGAACATAATGCATGGTTAAGATTTTGAAAAACTCGAAATATTAGAATATATTGCCATTTCTTGCAAATTTAATGTCAGGAATTAACATAACGGGTATCCGGGTAGGGTAGGGTATTAGGGGGTAGGGTACACGGGTAGAAAATGTGGACCCGTCCCAGCCCTTGTACCCAAATTTTGCTCAGTTAATAAACACTGAACAAGCTACACTCCTCTTACAAACAGAAATTATTGTTAATCCACTGGCCGCTTTAGTTAGCCGTATGTATCGGCGTAAGCTATCATCCCTATAAAGTTTCTTTCTTTTTCCTTAGGTCTTTCATATGTGTGATACTCCTTAATGTTTTAATCTTATATTTTATACATTTTATGCACATATTGTCTAGTGTGTCTCATTGGCCATCTGGCCTGGTGTCTGTATTTTTCTATGTCTTTTTTACCGTTGCCACTTTTTTGACATGTACATTCACGTGACACAAAAATAAACTATTTTGTCTGTCTGTCTGTCCTATTGGCAGCAAATAAAGGCATCTTACTTAGCCACAGTCTCAGGAAGCATAACATTTACCGTGTATGATCATCACTTCCAATTAAAGTCCAATGTACCATTTCCGGTATTTGGTTATTGATTCCCAGATATAACGGTTGTTCTAAAGTTATGCTAGTACATGCCAATATATGTCATATCTATCCCTAATTATTATTTTGACACCAATAACAAACACCCACCTGGTTTACAGCAGAGAGAAACCACTAACACGGACAGAAGAAGGCAATAATGATAGGACCACGCCATTTTAGTTCCTTCCGAGCGTCACACCAACACTATTGAACAGACGATTGAACGGAACATAGTACTTAAGGGTGGTCTCCACCCCTTGTGATCGTGATTTCAAAGAAAATGAAATCAGCTCTTCGCATCCAGTTTGAAACCTGTAGGATGCTGTTGTGTAATGGCTAGAACGATGAACATTGAAAAAATTTCGTCAACAAATGATGAACATTAAAGATTTCACATCAAAGATTTTCCCCAAAAATATTTTAAGCCTCTAGGGTTAATGTCAAAAATGGATTCGTAGAGGACTGAGTGAGTGAGTGAGTGAGTATGGTTATCCGTCGCTTTTAGCAATATTCCAGCCATATCACGGCGGGGCACACGAGAAACGGGCTTCACACATTGTACCCATGTGGGGAATCGAACCCGCGAGCGGACGCTTTAACCTTTAGGCTACCCCACCGGCCCGGATTCGTTGAGGAATATATTCGGTGGCGTTTGTTTGGATAACCAAGCAATTGATTTAGGAGATAAACATCTTGTGTTGGCTAATTTCCGGGTGTTATTGAGTATTTGAAGCACGGGAATTCATTTGGAACCGACGGCGTTGAGTATTTGAAGCACGGGAATTTATTTTGAATCGACGGAAAATAACACCCGGAAATTGGCCAACACATGATGTTTATCGACATTGTAAACACAAAAGTAAACCAAAAGGTCCACACACGTTTTTGTGTCTGCACTCATTGGCATCGAGTACAGGTACAGCAGTGAAATGTCATCAGCCGGCCGCTTCGGCTAACTATGATAGCATCTCGAACTGCTCATTTGTGACGTCATTCGGACTTTACGTCACAAAATGATTTGAATGACGTCATCACAGCTGATGACGTAACAATACAATGGTGTGAGCGATGTTTGTATGTATTAATACGCAGCGAATTTCGTGGAATCGAATACCATTTGATCATGTTTTTAACCAATGAGATTCAAGAACACAGTGACTTTTGGTTTACAATTTACCGTTATGTTTCCATAAACCGAACAAGCAGGACGTTATTTGGTATTCTTGTCTACAGTTTTAAAAGGTTAAATAACCAGCTTTAAAAGCGGCTATTGTTGATGTACTGGTTTTGTAGGATTACGCTGACAAAATACCGTGTGGAACCACCCCGGGTTTACGTTTACACCTATATTTAACTGGGGCGGTGGAGGGCCTAGTGATTAAAGCGTTCGCTCGTCACGCTGAAGACCCGGGTTTGATTCCCCACATGGGTACAATGCGTGAAGCCAATTTCTGGTCACCGTGATATTGCTAGAATATTGCTAAAAGCGGCATGAAATCATACTCACTCATTCACTCACTCAATCACACATTCGCATATTTGTTCACCTACCTGCACGTCTTACCCCGGTGTCACAAACGGCAGTGTGCTAGTCCACCCTGGATCCTGGGCAGTTATTTTCGGCGTTGAAGCCCATTAAGGGGAGGAGGGGGGAGAGGGGTTGATGAAAATATTCATATGTATGACTCGGGGACAGGATGTCTAGCAGTTGATTAAAACTGTTCGTGCTCAAAGACACAAGCCTAGTGGTTAAAGCGTTCGCTCGTCACGTCAAGGTCCCGGGTTCGATTCCCCACGTGGGTAGAATGTGTGAAGCCTATATCTGGTGTCCCCCGCCGGGATATTACTGGAATATTGCTGAAAGCGGCGTAAAACCATAGATCCCCATTGAGAGGAGGCGGTAACAGCGGTAAGCATATGCAACTCATCCATGTTAAGATAGGGACACATGTATAGCCTTCACATAATGTACTTTATGAGGATTCAGAACTCGAAAAGAGCATACTACTACGTGCCCCGTCATCCTACGATAACGAAATTTAAAGAATACATGGTTTGGTGGGTGGGTGTTTGTTTTGGGTTTGTTTATTTTGTTGTCATTTTTTTTTAATTTGTTTGTGTCTCATTTTGCGTGTCTATGAGTGTGCGAGTGCATTTGCGTTTGTCTCTGTGTGCATGCGTGTGTGCGTGTGCGTGTTTTTATTTGTTTCTTTTATTGTTTTGGGGAGGGCTTGTTCGATCTTGTCTTATTTTCGTAAGGGCGTTTTGTGGTGTTGTTTTTATTTTTGTTTTTGTTATATTGTATTATTTTGATCCAAGAACCCATATGCACAGCAATATTTCAACTGGGTATAGTTAAGTATTTTCTTTATTTAGTTTAAATCCAAAATCGATATCATGAATCTAACGATTCCTCTTTCAGTCGATAGAGGTAGATCTCGTCCTTAAGAATAACGACGGACATAACGCCCCCGTTCTCAACCCACATGCTTTCAAACTACCCGTTACTGCCATGTCGACGTTACCCGTTGACTCATTGCTCTTACAGGCGAGCACAACCGGGAGGGATTCTTCCTTTCACTGACAATGGCACCTTCTCACATACGACAGACTGTACGCATATGTTTTTCCCTCGTGATTAATTCCAGCCTACGGGGCATGTGAAGAGACGCTTTTGTTGAACGTAAACATGTGAATAATATCATCGAGCATGTATTCAAGTACCGCCTGCGTTTTCTGATAGACGTACACAATGGTTTGAATAAACGGCTGGAAAAAAAGTACTATAAAAAGACTATTTTTGTCAAATCAAGTCAAGCTCAATGGGCTATAAGGCTGTACCGTCCTTGATAATGACTAACTCGTAATTGAGTCCGAACACCCAAAACATCCACGATAAACAGACGAGCGTCGTTTTTCACGATCACCGAATTCGCTTTTGTCAGTTCTCCAGGGTCCAACTAGCGTTAGATAACTGAGGGTATGAAACGAAACTCGCTCGCTTACACAATGACGTCCTGTCGTAAAGTTGCGCCGCTGTACAGAGTTATGCCCCTTTAGTCGTATCGGCGTTCTTAGATCGTGGTTTCGAATCTGTTTATGACTTTTGGTTTGTCAGATGTTAACCGTGCTCGTTGTTCGCTACGAAGTGGCAAATATGCACGACCGTCAGTACTTTAATCGGTCAGCTCCCACGCCTCTTTAAGACTAACTTACAGAATATTTCGGCGCATCTACGAGCGCTATATGCCTCTTTTACTTCACATGTCCTTGGGGTACGCCTTGTGGTTAAACAGTTCGCTCGACACGCTGAAGTACCGGGTTCGATTCCCCACATGGGTACAATGTGTGAAGCCCATTTCTGGTGTCCCTGCCGTGATGTTGCTGGAATATTGCTAAAAGCGGCGTAAAGACATACTCGCACGCTTATATAAATTAAAGAATTCTTTGGACACTATATCGTATCCTGAAACAAATTGACAATTTTCTCGTTCACTTGTTAAGGCTAACGTGCAACGTGTTAAGGCTAACGCCCTTGCCACATGGACTTAAAATATGGATTTGACCAACATCAAACGTCATCGGAGCATTCCTGGGTTGAAATAGTCGCTGAAACGCTTCAACCATAAGGTCCGTTTTACAAACATGATAAACACGCGTCAAATATATCACCGTCAAATAGCAGTTCCTGGTATGTTTGACGTCATAATTAGCCACCTTCAAATATGTATCCTTTCTTTTGTCCAACAGTTTGGGTATCTTCAGATATCACATAGTGTTCACTAGCGGTGGTCCGATTAATTGAAATAATCGAAGATTGGTCGCAATGACTAAACGACCAAGCAATCGATCATGTTTTCTCATAATTGAACACAAACAATTTTGGAACACTTGTTTGCATTAACAACATTTTTCAAAAGGTTGTTTTTGTCTGTTACAATTCATAAGCACTACAAGCTCTTTCCAAGTCATGATTGAATTTAGCTTAAAGATTCCAGAAAATTTATGTTCCTAACATACTAGTCATCCTTTAAAGATGTGAAATTTGTAAATGCATTTTGTGCAATTGGCCACAAAAAACCAAAAGAACTACATGTTTTTCTATATTTCTTGTGCATCAACAAGCATAACCAGAAAAAATTTGATAAATCTCGCTAACCAATTTTTTTCGATGATTGATCGGTTGGAATGAACCAATCATCAGTTGTGAGATTTTAACCAATTCCCAACACTAGTGTTCACTCAGGTAATCACTCAGTGAATGCTGAACAAGGCCAGATTCTTCTGGATGTACAATGTTACAATTGAAACCCAGATTCCATTATTGACAGACTGTCGCCATATAGCTCGAATGTTGATGAGTGCAGCGTTAAAAGGAAACAAACAAACAAACAAATTATACAATTCAGGCGACGTTCCGGTGTACAATCTAACACTTTTATCAAGCACGTGATGTGCAGAAAGAGATGAGGGTGCAATATATTTTTCATATTATTCATATTTTTCATATCATTCATATTTTTCATATATTCATATTATTCATGTTTCATATTATTCATATTTTCATATTTTTCATATTATTCATATTTTTCATATTATTCATGTTATCAATCTCCCCTGTTGATGGACTCCTTTCACCTTGCTGACTTCCAAGAGTGTTCTAACCTTGCCTGACTGGTTTTACGCCACGTCTGCTACATCACTGCGACCGGTAAACAAGAAAATCTCCCATGTTGTAACCGCATGTGTTAACCAACCAATCCCCAAAAGGAGGTTTATGGAGTATTGTGTTGACCCTAATGCACCTAAATATGGAGAACAAACCCAGGAATATCCATAATCAGAATATAACAGACAACTCAAACATAAGTACTCAGAAAAGGTATTCTTTATTCACCATGTCAATCCCATCTGACAAATCAAAGGTTGGATAAAGTTATTTGTCTGTTTTGGTTTCGACGACATTAAAAGTACAATTTTATATTTGAAGGGGTGTAAAAGGTCGAAAATAATATCGCAAAAATAGCACCATTTCCTAAAAATCATTATCAGCGTTAATGATGTCATGTCAATATTCAATATACGCTATGCAAGTATGCATGGTTAGTAAGACAAATATATTGGCGCTACAATGGTATAAGTGTCCAGACATTCTTTGTAAAATGAGAAATAAAAGAATAAACTGACGTACAAAAGTAAGTACACACCTTATGATTTGGCATCAGTTTCCCCAAAACAACGTAGTTACTCTGAAAAGCGTTTTGATTGGACTTGTGACTTACATGATACATCTGTCTTTGTATCACATCTGCCAAACTTGCATGTGTGACATTTAGTAAACCTAACAGGGTGTATGACATTTAGTAAACCTAACAGGGTGTGTGACATTTAGTAAACCTAACAGGGTGTGTGACATTTAGTAAACCTAACAGGGTGTGTGACATTTAGTAAACCTAACAGGGTGTGTGACATTTAGTAAACCTAACAGGGTGTATGACATTTAGTAAACCTAACAGGGTGTGTGACATTTAGTAAACCTAACAGGGTGTATGACATTTAGTAAACCTAACAGGGTGTATGACATTTAGTAAACCTAACAGGGTGTGTGACATTTAGTAAACCTAACAGGGTGTATGACATTTAGTAAACCTAACAGGGTGTATGACATTTAGTAAACCTAACAGGGTGTATGACATTTAGTAAACCTAACAGGGTGTGTGACATTTAGTAAACCTAACAGGGTGTATGACATTTAGTAAACCTAACAGGGTGTATGACATTTAGTAAACCTAACAGGGTGTATGACATTTAGTAAACCTAACAGGGTGTATGACATTTAGTAAACCTAACAGGGTGTATGACATAACCTAACAGGGTGTGTGACATTTGGTAAACCTAACAGGATGTGTGACATTTAAAACACCTGACAGGGTGTATAACATTTTCAACTCGACAGTGGCTATGACATTTCTAAATCTGGAGTGTTCCTCTCTGGCGTGTTCCTCTCGCCAATACTCGGTCGAATTCTGACGTCGAATGAATATTTTGATTAGCAAAAACAGACGGTACGGTTGGGTGAACATCGATAATGATGTATAACGACATACGGAGACCGGGTATAGCCTTGAATATGTTATATGATGCGTATATCTTTGTACAAAACTGTAAAAATATATATGCAGAACCTTTTTGCTTAACTGAAACTCGACTTGCAACAATTTGACCCGACTCAAAAACATGACTTGAAAATATGTCCTTGCTCGAGCAATAGAGCAATAGATATCATATTCTAAAATACAAAATGTAACAAAACAAACTAAAAGAAGTTTAAACTTCTTAAGTATCTAGAGTAATGAGAAGATTTTCGCACGTGCAGTACGTGTAGTTCATAATTCATTCAAAGTACTGCTAAAACACGTATCACGGATATACACCTTCATGATGTGTACAAATTAACTCTAAAGCTGATGATCAAACATAAACGCTTTGCACAAAGTCCATGCACACCCCAGCAAAACAGTAAGGCCCAATGATGCACCCTGCCGCACACCACTGTTACATTTGTCCGTGAAGCAGTAGCAAAGAGACCCAAATCCGCCGTTACTAGTGCGGTAGTGACATCCCTCCTCTGATACCTTCTTGGCGTCGCTCATCCGTACACACAGTCGAGATTCAACAGTGGAGTCTGTAAGACAAACACAGCAATATCTATATACATCTACATTTAAATATAGGGGTCGGTGGGGTAGCCCTGTGGTTAAAGCGCTCGTTCGTCACGTCTTGAAGACCCATGTTCGATTCCCCCATAGGTACAATGTGTGAAGCCCACTTATGGTGTTCCTGCGCTGATATCCCTGGAATATTGCTAAAATCGGCGTAAAACACACACTCACTCACTCACTCACTGTAACTAAAAGATGGTCCTGATTCCCCATTAGTAAATACAGTATACCTTGATTAAGCCGTGCATGGTATTAGATACTCAGTTAATTTGATCATATACTCATGGGTAATTAAATCAGTCAGTTTATGAATGAAACTGCGTTTCTTGCTTTGTTTATTTCGTTTGGGGTATTTCTTGGGTTTTCAGTCACATATTCAGAAGCCAAAAAACAATATGAATACGTCCATATGTTGTTTTTTACAATATGCCAGACCAGATCAAACTGTTCTGTAAGTACTGCTGGTAAATCAACAGTGACCAATAACAAGGGTATGTCCGGAATGGAAGGTTTCCGGTATACTGGTGTCCGCACTAACGTGGTTTATGTCTTACCTTTAGTGTATCCCAATCTGTCATGTAGACGCACCAGTGTGAAGGACTTCATACACGCCTTACACCCCTGCACTACCTTGGGCACTGAGCAGGGGGTGATCTTGCCGTTTCTGAAGACGTTACACTCGTAACAGTCCAATTCTGAAGAATGATGGTAAAAAAGGAAATCGTTACGCCAATGCAAAACATCATTTCTTATATTTTAACCCTAGCCCGCCTGAAAACTAAACAACCCGCCTGACATCGTTTTATAGTCTTCTGCGTCCCGATCCAAAAAGCGTTCGTAGCGCTACGATAATGGTAAGTCGATGGTAAACTGTAGAGTTACGACAGGTCGTAACGTTACACATGCTTAGTGGATAGTTACCCAGAACGTGGCATTACCCAGAAATGCCACACTTGGTTCTCTCTGTACTTGATAATATACATCAATTACCTGGTCCTGATAAATATTCATGATTCATGTGAAGCACATAGGTCGACAGGTAATGGTCTCGGATGTTTTCTTTGCCGTTTTTTTCCTTTATAAACTTATAATTACTAAAACATCAAATGTCTCCCGCATCAAGATTTTGATAAAAATGAATGACAAACTACTCAATATAGTGGTCTGTACCAGGATACAGTCGATGATAGTTGCATTATTTGTTTATTTGTTGTTAAACGCCGCGCTCAGCAAGTTCCCAGCTATTCGACGTTGGGGTGAAAATAATCGAGTCTGGACAAGATAATCAGGACCATCGATCTGAGCAACTGTTATACGATGACATGCATCAACCAAGTTGCTGTAGGCCAGTTCTAGCCCAAACGATGATAATGTGAACAGAACCTTGCTGCTCCGTCCATAACATTGTTGGCACCGCTATCAACCCACTACCGTACTGGATTTCATTTTTGTGGGGGTTTTGTTGGTGGTTTCAATTTGAGATGCCTAAAACTCCTTACCGCCACATTGCACACCGGACATGCAATCCGCAATCCTCTTGTCCACTCTTGGGCCAGCGCAGTTGTTTGAAGCATCTTGACAGAACCTCCCCCTGGTCACCTCGCGCTTGCCCATGCCGCATGTGACACCACACGGTCCATCGGACCATTGTGCCCAGTCACTCCAGTTGCCCCACACTGAACACACGAGACACAAGTTTATTATATGCAGCAAATGTCATCAAATCAATATAATTAAGGACCGATCATAATTTATGGCTAGGGGGTGATGATTATGTTATATGCTAAGGTAGGTGTGTGTGTGTGTGTGTGTGTGTGTGTGGGGGGCACCCAATTTGTTCTGGGAGGTAGGGGTCATCAATTTTGAAAATATTGATAAACTATGGGGGTCATTGATTTTGTACATGACATGCAGAGGGTCACTTACTTTGTACATAAATTTAAAGGGGGGGGGCAGTCATTCACATTGTACATGATTCTATATAAAAGTCATCATGGCTATCCACAAAGATGTTAAACTTGGGTTATAGGTGAAAACAACTTTGGCCAACGACATCGTACCAAACCACGGTATTGTTCAATATTAATTATGTGAGCCGCATTTCTCATTTGATTTGAACATTACAAACGATATCAAAACGCTACTAGGTTTAACTCTGTCGCCTTGTTATAATACCTGTATCAAATAGATCACCATCGGATAACCATGTTTCAGTTTTAGATACAATGAAACATGGCTGCTTACTTTCTTTTGCGCGTCAGTATCATTGATAATAACCTCCAACCCACTGAAGCATCAACTTAATAAAACCAAAAGAGGACCACTTATGCAAATCCACAGGAATATAGAAGTATGAATTAGAGTGTGTCGACTGCACGTTGCACGATTATCACCTTAACAGGATTGGAAATGTTCATAGCGGCCAATACAGGATATACGAGGGTGTACAAAAGTAGTCGGTCTCACCTCAAACATTATACAAATGCAGCTGTTTTTATGTTTTATTTTTCTACATATTATCTGTCAACCTAACAACAAGCAAATTTGTTTTGCTATGTTCAAACCTCACGATCTTCATTTTGATTGACTTTTTATCCTGGTACTTCAAAAAAAACCGCAAAATCTGCAATAAATGCATCACAAACTTCAGGAAAGAAAATATGCAAGAAGCATGTTGTGTGTTTGGGTTAGGTAGAAATCCGCTAGAATCAAACTTAGATATTCAATCAATCTTTATTCAGAACTGAAGGCCACAGGCCCATAGTACAGGTATATACAAAGTTCAAAAGCAGAGTGGGTTTCTCTTCAATATCGCATGGTATATGAACAAAGCAATATTTTCAATCAATATACGATTAAAAGTTGACAACAGTTGGATAAATTTATGTTTTGACGGTTGTTTCGTAAAGTAACTGGGTATATATTTGCTTCTAATGTTTCTATAATAATCACAAATTAGCAGAACATTGTATTCATCTTCCAAGACATTCATTTTACAGTATCTGCACACAGTAGATTTCTTATGAAATTTTCCCTTATAACAACTTAAATCATAATAAACGGAACGTGATAAGGCTAGTCTTACTTTCTTGATATTGATACAACGTACATATGGTTCACACAAGAAGTCTTCTTTTAACAGGGAATAAGTAAATGTACAGGGACTGTTTTGGAGTTTTGCATGCCACTCCTGTATAAAGCAATCTTTGCTTCTTCTTACAAGTAAATTTAAGAATTGGTGCTTATTTCCAACTCCCTGCCATATCCACGCATAACCTAGTCCAAATCTAAATAAAACTGTTTTTACATGTGTAGCCCAATTAAACCTATTACGCTCGGCGCTTGCGTTTAAATCTAAATTACATACCATTTTGTAAGCTTTTAATGGGTAGCGTGAAGAGGGCATGGAGAGGAGCTTTAGCCAGTAAGCAATACAGCGTTTTAGAGTGTACACATGAATAGGATATCTACCAGTTTCTCCAAGGACAATTGTATTTGGTGTAGACATTCGCACACCAAGGAATCGTTTACATGCATAAAGCAATACCCTTTCCAGACAATCATGTTTGTGAAAGCCCCATAATTCTGACCCATACAATAATATGGGTAGTATCTTACAGTCGAATATTTTGAAATAGACATCATAAGACAAGTCTTTAAAGCTACAAAGGCATTTTGTAATAGACACTAAAGCTCTCTTTGCCTTAAGTGAAATGTTTATGGCAGAGAGGGACCAATTTAGAGTTCTATTAAATGATACTCCAAGGTACTGGTACGATGTAACAACTTCAAGCATAGCTGATTTATATGTCCATTTTTCTGATTTTGATAGTTTAGGTCCTTTTTTAAAAATCATAATTTTAGTTTTATCAAGGTTAACATTTAAGGACCATTTATTACAGTAGGTTTCTAAAGCATTAATTTGCCTCTGTAGACCAATTACTGACTCTGAGAAAAACACCACATCATCGGCCAACGTCAAAATAAATATTTAAATAAGATCTGGATATAATTGGACGCCAGTGGAACATGAATGGTTAATCTCAGACACTAGATCGTTGATAAAAAACGAAAATAGGAAAGGGGTTAGGACACAACCTTGCCTAACACCAACAGGACAGTCAACTACGTCTGTAAGAACATTGTTATTTGTGCGGACACAGGCTTTAACATTTTCATAAATACTTTTTAATGTTTTATCCATTTTTGAATGGAGACCGTGTTTGTTAAAGACATACCATAATTTGTGTCTCTGTACTGAATCAAATGCCTTGGAAAAATACAGTTTGCCACCTTTCTTAGAAACATATTTACAAATTACTGATTGGAGAACAAATATATTATCTGTGGTAGTATAGCCTGTTCTTCATTTATCATATCCAAACTGTCTGACCAGAATACCAGGCGGTTATTTAAAATGTTTGTATAAATTTTACCAAAAATACTTAAAAGGGAAATGGCGCGATAATTTTCCGGATTGTTATATCGCCTTTTTTATGTATTGGAACAATTATTGCTTTTGCCCATTTCATAGGGAATGATCCATTATCAAACAATGTGTTAAATATGATTTCGAGGTAAGGTATGATGATATGACAAGACGACTTAAAGAACTCGCAAATTACGAGGTCTTCCCCAGCAGTTTTATTATATTAGTTTGTTAATACTTGACTGGATTTCCCCCCGGCTAATGGGTGCACTGAATATATCGTTAGTTATGTGATGTGCCTGGCTTTCAGGTATAAATATGCTGTCACCATCATCTACGAAGTCACTGGGAATCACACTGGAGTCCCAATCAAAGAGATTCTTAAAGTAGTCGTGCCATTAATTTACTGTGATGTTATTTTCAATTTTTTGCGAACATGAAATGTACTTTAGCTTTCGCCAAAATAATTGGGGATTGGTAATTGAGTCCGAAAGCTCACTCATATTTCTGTTTTCAAATTTCCGCTTCGCATCTCTACACGCAGTTTTGTAGATATTTCTTGACGAAATATATAAATCCCGAGAAAGCGTGTCCTTATGCTTTCTAAATCTATTAAGGTAATGACATCGCTGATGTTTAAGTCCTTGACATGTGTTGTTAAACCAATCTGGGTTTCGTTTGGACGATGTAATTGTCCGCTTCATGCACTCTGCTGACTTAACTATTACATCACTAAACATTTGTATACCAAGCTCACAATCAGAACACATTACTTCTGTTGCATTCTCCAACTCGCTTGACAAGCTCGAGAGGTTTGAAACAAATTCGCCTTCCTTTTCGGATTTCCAAATGTACTTAACAATAGGTGTATTTATAGACACATCATTAATACCTTGCTGTTTGACATGTTTCGACAATAGAGCAAACGATATCGGAAGATGGTGTGATTCACAAGGGGAGATAATATCAAATCTTGACATCTGATTAAGTACTGTAGCTGACCCGATCACATAGTCAATCACACTACATCCTGCCTGACGTATAAAAGTATAATCACCTTTACCCTTGTCTGAACCATATCTTCCATTTACAATGTGGATGTTAAGCAGACGACACATTTCTAAAAGACTTTTCCCATATGTGTTTATATGGGTATCGCAAGATATTCGTGTAGATGAGAATCCATCGTTTATAAAGCCATTCAAATCATCGCAATCATCCGATATGTACTCATAGTTATCATTGCTAAAATCTGCTAATTGGCCAGTTCTCGCATTTAAATCACCCACCAGAAGGACATCACTGTACGCAACATCCGCAGAGTAATCGCAATAGTCATTGAATAGAATATCGATACCATTATTGGAATAGATGCGTGAAGAATACCAGTTTGATCTTTCTGGTTGTATGTAAGCAAATATGAACATTCTATCGTTTACAGTGGAAAACATACTTTTGTCAAACAGGGCAAATATCGCATTTACTCCTTTATGAATGTGTTTAACATATAGCTGGTAACATTCTTTGACACAGAGCAGGATACCTCCAGATAATCCGCCTGACTCTGACAGTCGTACACCTTGGATATGGTAACACTTGTATAAAGGAAACGATGACACTATAGTACTGAGATCACAATCAGCAACCCATATCTCTGTTAAATGAATAATGCCATATCCTTTAAGAAAGTTCATAAAGTCATGGTCATGTAATTTATTGAACAGTCCAGATACGTTCCATGTTATGAATGAAACGTCACTACCTGAATCAGTCAATTTCTCTGACAGATCCTCATGGGTATGGGTTGCTTTGACTTGGGCCCGGCCGCACCCCTATCTGTACTCCCGATCCTTTCTCGTATGAATCTTAGGATCAGCCTGTATGGCGCTGGATCTGGGTGCTTTGCGTCTAGCCTCTTGGGGACCGTCGATCTCGTGGCTGCTAGAGGCACTGGCATTGGCTACGACAATAAGTTTACCGTTTGTGTAATATCCTTTCTTTCCCGTATAGGGGCGGTGGGGTAGCCTAATGGTTAAAGCGTTGGCTCGTCACGCCGAAGACCCGGGTTCGAATCCCCACATGGGCACAATGTGTGAAGCCCATTTCTGGTGTCCCCCGCCGTGATGTTGCTGGAATATTGCTAAAAGCGGCGTAAAACCAAACTCAGTCAGTCAGTCAGTCTTTCCCGTATCTGATAGCTCCTTTAGTTTCTCTCTCTGTTTAATGGTTAGATATTAAAGTGCATAAAAAGCAATTTGAAACTACAGTCGCTTGTTAAAGTGACTTCCCCTTCATGTTTACTGTAAGAGCTTGTTTTTGGAGACACTACCCATCCCGTTTCAGATGACGTAATCATAAAGCCATAACTTATTCTCGTGTTTTCATTTATTCATACATGATGTCAAGGGTTCAACCTAAATTCAGAATGACCACACAGTGTTAGCTCTCAATATATTGTAAACAGTACCAGCTTGAATATCTGGACATAATGTTTTCGAATGCCTAAAATGGGGGTGTCCTTAAAAAAGCAGCCCCCGTCTAAATATAGATCAAGCAATCCAAATCTTTGATTGTTGATGACGGGAAGTCAGCCAATACTATACTGAACATATTTTATATGATATTATCTGAGGGCATAGCATTATCCAAGAGGTACCAAATGACAGATCGTTTTTAATTTTCTGCATTTTGTTCTAGAAATATTATACCCCAATGTGTTGTGATGACTAATATCTCGTTAACCACATTATCCACATGTGTGAAATTTTGGATATGGCTTTGCTAGTGATTCCTTCAAAATAAAATGGAAGGTTTTCAAACATTGGACATCGAGAATATAGTTAGGCCGACTACTTTTTGACCGACCCCGCAGGATCCGTAGCCTTCTTGATTTGGAAGCTGTTTAATATACTAAGATCATTGTGAAATACTGCTAATGAGTTATTATTGAAATATTACACATTTACATTGTAATATACCCATACGCATACTCTTCGACACGAGTGGATGGTCGCATATGTATATAGGTATTTGTTATTGATGATAGGAAAAATGGAACAATCGCGAGACTTTGCACGAACGATGGAAAGAGCCCCAGGAACAGATGAAAACAAATATTTGTGATTGTTGAAAAAATTCAAAGTGACGCTTAAAGTTGTAATCAAAGGATTATCTGGTTTGCAGTCGAAGGTGAAAAAAGACAGTCTCCATACGAAATCACAGTATACAACATGAACGTTTTCCCTTGACCAGCACGATTACCAAGTATGACACTTGTGGGTTCTGCATTGTAACATTATACAGCCTTAGTGTATACGTGGGGCGGTGGGGAAACCTAGTGGTTAAAGCGTTGGCTCGTCACGCCAAAGACCCGGGTTCGAATCCCCACATCGGTACAATGTGTGAAGCCCATTTCTGGTGTTCCCCGCCGTTGCTGGAATATTGCTAAAAGTGGCGTAAAACCAAACTCAGTCAGTAGTGTATACATATTAATTCATTTTTTGTCACATAGGGATTTAATATATTACCTCTCATCGCCGCATATCGGTATGTAGGCATATGATATATTATGTATCTACACACATACCAAGAACCCCAACCTGGGTTTTTAAAGGATGACCACATATATATAACATTAATGTGTGTGTGTGTGTGTGTGTGTGTGTGCGCGTGCGTGCATGCGTGTCGATGCATGTGTGCGTATTCTCTTCTGCGGGTTCGGTGGTTAGACGTCCGCCCGGAGAGCGGAAGGTCGCGGGTTCGAGGCCCGAAGCCGACTGAACTTGTTGGTCCCTGCCTGGCTGGGAACCACGTCGCTTGTTATAATGTCTGGAGTGGGGTCATGGTATGCGGGTCCACTTTAAAAGCTTTTTCATCCCTAATAACTAACAGTTACTGTATTATTTTTCAGAAAAAATCAGTACTTTCTAGTTTCAATTTTTAAATTTAACTCTTTAACTCAGTTTGTTAGTTGTCACAGTTTTGTTCGATGGTAATTACTGATATTGTAGCTAAAATATAGGGCCTACACATCCTACACTCCTCATAATCAAATTACCACACAATTACGAATAGCATCAACATAACATGGAAGCTTTTAAATCAATTAAAATATAGAGAAAATGTAAAATTACTTTTATAAAAATGTGTAGTTTTGATAGTGCCTCATATTATACAAGTTACAAGGGTGTAAACGAGAATTCTACCTGTTGATGGGATGAGTCATATGAAACAAACTCATAATCTTTTAAAGAATGTCCGAAATGGACAAATCACTTGAATCTTGTGATCCCGGAAGTAGAATCAACGAGACCCGAAGCTGAGAATTGATCCTTCTTCCTGGTTCGAGATTCGAGTGATTTATTATCGAGTTAATGTTGCATTATGTGCATAATTTCTTTATGATTGTGTATAAAATATTTAGTTCAGAATGGCCTCGGAAAAAACAGCGACAACAATAGCGAAGAGTCTCCATTAATGGTAAAGATTTTAGTGTTGGGAATTGTGAAATATGCATTATAATACTAAATTGATGCCATGTTGGCAATATAGTTTACTTCAATCATTTGAGCAAAAACATCTTCAAGAATGTGCAACGGATAAGTAGAATACATTGGACTGAACATCATGTATGTAAATGCGTGTCTACATCTCTCTTCTTTCCTTTATGTAGTTGTATGCATTGATTCAAATACAGCATATCTCTAAATCTAAAGTGCAGGGCGATCTACTTTGACATTAACAGTTCAGTTTAAAGATTACACCGCGTTACATTTTGATAGAAAGTGAAATTCAATAGCTCGCCAAGCGATTTCTTAAATCAGATTTTTGCTTTGTTTGAGTGGCATTTTTAGAAGTTGAGACAATACAATATAGCAAGTTTTATGGATGCAACTTCAGATTATTTATTTCGAGTTGAGTGCGACGTTTCGATACAGATTCTTGTACCGTTGTCAACAAGATTCTTGACCGTTGGTAGGTAACGGTACAAGAATCTGTATCGAAACGTCGCACTCACGAAATAAAGAAGTTGTTATCCATAAAAACTTGTTCCATATTGCAGATTATGCTTGATATATTTGTCTGCAGTTGGGAATATGTGAAGTTTTTGATGACTGTGGACAAATCACCGCAGTTAGAAGGGGACTGTACATTGTACCCTTGGCGATTTCTTAAATCAGATTTTGTTTGATATTTAATTTGTCTACATTTGTGGATAGTGGCCTACAGTTGTGGATAGTGACCTACAGTTGTGGATAGTGGCCTACAGTTGTGGATAGTGACCTACAGTTGTGGATAGTGACCAACATTTATTGATAGTGACCTACAGTTGTGGATAGTGACCTACAGTTGTGGATAGTGACCTACAGTTGTAGATAGTGACCTACAGTTGTGGATAGTGACCAACATTTATGGATAGTGACCTACAGTTGTGGATAGTGACCTACAGTTATGGATAGTGACCAACATTTGTGGATAGTGACCTACAGTTGTGGATGGTGACAAACATTTGTGTCAGTTTTACATTCAGAATGGCCAGTGAATTCCTGGCTGAGAATAACAAAAACAATAGCGTGACGTCATCACAATGGTTCAATACGTAGAGGGCACGTTGTACCCAATCCATATGGGATGAATAACCCATAACATAAATCATGTATAACCAATTTATTGCTCCCATTGTTAACGGTAACATACGACCCTCTTGTTAGTCTCATCTGGTCTCTTACCCAGGTCAAACCAACCTAGGGAACCTCACTGACAGGGTTTATTATAATTTTACCCTCAAACACACAAAACACTTGTAAACTGAAGCACCATGTGCATATCAGCCGACTATCAACCACCCCGACGGAAAGAGATGGTATTTTCATTTTCTTTGTGTGACAAACCAGTATCGATCGAATTAATCGATTTCAACATAAACCATGTACATTGCACTCCATTGACACTGCGTCAAAAGCAACGATGTTGTACATTTCAGGAGAATCTTGTACATGAAGGCGTGATTTCGATATATGTTAGTAGGAAATAGTTTTAGCAAATCTCAAGCGTAATCATAATCGGATATAATGGACACATCTTCGTCGTATTCCCAGCAAGTCGACTGCAGTCCGAAGATTCCAACCCGTTACAATTGTGTGACTATACAAGAAACCATTGGAATCGTGATGTGATACATCGTTATCGTATTTTGTGACCGACGGGAAGAAACACCTACCTGGTTTACAGAATATTACGTGAAGGATGCACAAGGGAAGGAGCCAGCGCTGATATGTATCCCACGCCATAGTTACTCGTTGGAGGTGTTTGAACAGGACATGCTTCAGTAGGCATCCGTCAACTGCTGAAGGCCGTGTGAATTATTTACTTACTTTAAGGGTGGAACACACCCCTGGGATATGCGCGTTGTTTTTGGTATTGCGATTGATGAAGCGATTTTTTAAAGAGGAGGTCTTTAGATTATTAAGTAAATCATGACAAGTATAATATTAATGGTGATGCTGATGCTGCTGATGAAGATGATGATGAAGATGATGATGATGATGATGGTGATGATGATGATAGGTAATGTTATCATCTTCACTATCATACAATTAATCGATTCATTTATTTATTGCTAAACCAGGAGTTAATTCCATGTGACATTTTGTCTAACCATCCATTCATCACCCCGTTCGCTCTTTCATTCATTTATTTGGTTAATTCGGTCATTCATTCAAGTATTCAATGATTCATTAATTCATTTAGTTAGTTAGTTAGTAAGTTAATAAGTTAGTAAGTTAGTAAGTTAGTTATTAGTTAGTTAGTTAGTTAGTTAGTTATTCATTCATTCATTCATTCATTCATTCATTCATTCATAAACCAGGAGTTTAGTTTGATAACATTTTATGAAATTATATAGTCAGCAGTGGCCTTTTCCGTGGTATGTATAACAAGACACATACGTCCCTGAAATAGCTATACGGGTATGACCGTGTTTCTCTCCAGCCGTTCAACAGGCAGACTCCGTCCTTAAGAATTAGAGAGCTTGATGCGTACAACATGTACTTTCCTTTGCTTCATCACGTGTTTGGTCCGATTCGAATTCATCACATCATTGTTCTAACATACGGGCACTCCACAGAGAGGATCCCCGCTCCGCTGATCATCCATAGGGCAGAAATGTCCTTCCAAACTACGACAGACTGTAGACGAGAGTTATTTTCGGCAGAGACCCACCCTTTAAATGTATTGACATTCGACTAGGGAGAAACACCCCTTTGTCCAGCAAATGACAAGGGTGATCCACACAATTGTACACCTGCCGATAACTGCCGCCTACATTGTACTTTAAGGATTGACTGTGTATATTGTGTTGTCGTTGACGTATAAATCGAAAACAGTTAGGCGCAGACTGTATGAATATGCGATAGCAGTTTGAACACAACTAAATATGCATAAATATCTCTAAACGGTCCTGTGCATCATGACACGGGTAAACAGAAAGGGAAATCCTTCGAATGAAATTGGATTTCTCGACAATCCGAAGTAGTGGAAATAGTCCTTTTGGTGGGCTTGGGTGTTTGGGTTTTTTTATTCATCGCCCCCCGGCCCCCAAGCCATAATTTATGAACGGTCCCTAAAGTATCCCTTCCCCCGAAATGCCTATTCCCAAAATTGGTACCTAAACCGTTATTAATTTTATCTTTTAACAATCGAAGCAACATGTTATCATGATAGGCATTGCCCATACAAAATACAATATGGCACTAGATGAAAAAAAATGGAGGGGCCACTAGAACTCTCGATCTCTTAATTTACTATCTTCGAATTTCAAATGTATTTACGTGGAATTTCACGGAATTTTGAATTGACGGCGTGGACGTTCATGAAAGAAATGTGGTTATGACCTATGCAAAACTTTCTGGAATTTTTTATGTAGCTCAGTCACGTTTACAAATTGTTTTGAAAGAACACAAACTTCTAATCGCTTTGAAATCGGCACACCTAACATCCATATTGCGAAGGCCGCAAACCGTGAGTGAGTGAGTTTGGTTTTACGCCGCACTCAGCAATATTCCAGCTATATGACGGCGGTCTGTAAATAATCGAATCTGGACCAGGCAATCCGGTGATCAACAGCATGGGCATCGATCTGCGCAATTGGGAACCGATGACATGTGTTAACCAAGTCAGCGAGCCTGACCACCCGATCCCGTTAGTCGCCTCTTACGACAAGCATGGGTTACTGAAGATCAATTCTAACCCGGACCCTCACCTACCCCAACTGGTGTCACAACTATACAGTATCATCCGTGCCTGGTGAGTGTTGTTTTATGCCACAGTGATCATTATTCCAGCTTTTTCAGTACCCGAATCTGGATGGGAAAGCATTGAAATAGACAGAACCCATGAGCAACGCTCGATACCACCCGAGTGTGAATTTGCAGTCTCAGAACCTGGTCATCTGTCCACACTTTCAGACCATTCTTAACGCGAGACACTGGGAACATGGAATCCCACCATCCACTGGAATATAGTTATCTTATATACTTCTCTCGGTGGTGCTTCATCTCGAATGTTGACTGATCAATACGTTCGCAGTCTCAAATACAAAAGACTTGACATGAAGACTAGGGGATATTTCTGCAACATAATCCCATTCTACATTTACACCCGCGTCTACCAACACCGGTATTATCGCTATTTTATTGATCGTAAACACAATTTCATGAATACTCGGAATTATACAATGGCTATGCTATGGGGAAAACAGCGAAAATTTCGTGAGATCTCGTCAAGAAAAAATGGACTATTACATTAAACATCTGCATAACCAAAACAACCTTTAATATCGCCAATGTAACATTCTCCAAATAAGACACTGTTGATAAATGTACCCATAAAATGTAATCTTCTTTTCATAAAAGAACACATCAACACAAATAAAAGACTCTGAATTTATTGTACAAAAGAAATACAAAATCAACAAGCACAAATAATACTTGAAAATTGTTCATTATGCTACAAAATAGCCACAAGGAAATATGTGCACATAGTCTATTCAAAAGCATCGACTAAAACAGAAATGAAACAAATAGTGACATAATTCAATCTTGTTAGACTGAACTGCTCAAGAATGGAAGCCATACGATAGTACACCTTACTTCACTGGTTGTCAGTTAGGAGCTAGTCCTTCTAGAACAGACAAAACTGTTGCCATACGATAGTACACCTTACTTCACTGGTTGTCAGTTAGGAGCTAGTCCTTCTAGAACAGACAAAACTGTTGCCATACGATAGTACACCTTACTTCACTGGTTGTCAGTTAGGAGCTAGTCCTTCTAGAACAGACAAAACTGTTGCCATACGATAGTACACCTTACTTCACTGGTTGTCAGTTAGGAGCTAGTCCTTCTAGAACAGACAAAACTGTTGCCATACGATAGTACACCTTACTTCACTGGTTGTCAGCTCTAACAGTTTTCTCCAAGACTGAAGTACTGAGAACAGGTTCCTAATTACAGCCCTTAATGCTACTAGTTAATACGGACTACAATTACTGGATTTATACTTGTCTTCAGCAAGCTTGAGTGAATTTCAAAGCCAGCTCCCAAACCTAAGTAGGTAACAAGGTTCACAAGATCAAATTTCCTCATTTATGTGAGAAAAACATGAAGTGCTACCTCCCAGTGACCCTGAAATGTGTAATCTGTCATCAACTGAACTTGCTAAAGGTGCCTGTGGAGAACCATATGGAACTGATGAAAACGCATTGATGTTATCAAGGAATCGTTGATCAGTCACAAATGAGAACAGAGAAGTCATACACTAAAGGGGTTCATGCTTACTTGCAAGTCAGTACAGGTTAACTGTACAATCTATCTGTCCCACTGGCTAGCAACATGCTATACAACTCACCTAGTCATAATGTTGGATTACTAGTCACAAAATTACTGATCCCGGTCACATTTCAAGTTACCATATGCATGATCTGATGGTAGTCACAGGATAATATTAATCTAGTTATTATACCGTCACAGGATAATCTAGTTATCACACACATGCAATATAAGTCAGTTGTGGAGCCAAGAGACTAAATAAGTTCATGGGTTTTACAAGATGAAAGTTAATGTACACCTGTTGTCCCTCATGGTGCACAATCCCATTGAGGTTTTGAAAACCCTGTACAACCTACTAGTAGTGAGAGTAGTAGTGAGTTTAGTTTTATGTGGCACCCAGCAATATTCCAGCTATATGGACCAAACAATCCAGTGATCAACAGTATGAGCATCGATTTACGCAACTGGGATGCGATGACATGTGTCAACAAGTCAGCGAGCCTGACGGCCAAAATACCGAATAAATAAATGAAATGAAATGAGCCTGACCACAAGATCCCATTAGTTGCCTCTCAAGACAAGCATGGGTTACTGAAGATCAATTCTAACCCGGATCTGCACGGGTCCAACCTACTAGTAACATGCATCTCATACCACCCCAAGCACTGTGAGAAGAGAGTTTTACAGTCACTTTCAGAGGCAATATCACAGCTAAAAACACTTTATCATACAAGTGGGCATTACAATCTATGCCCCCAACAGAGAAGACCAAACAAAGGCTTGGACCAGCAAGGTCTGACACTGGACAGCTACTGAAACAGGTGTCACTGGGTAACAGTACATCCCAGCACACGGTACACATCAAGTTGGAAACATTCTCTCATAAACACCAAGAAACAATACAGATTAAACTATATTTTTTACCTATTGGTGCACACACCAGCTGAATAACATTTTTCTTCATTTTGGCTTCATCAGGGGAGGGATTTGGTTTCATTTGTTTGTTGTTTAACGCCACACTCAGCAGTATTCCAGCTATATGGCAGCAGTCTGTCAATGATCTTGTCTGGACCAGACAATCCAGTGATCAACAGGATGGACATCGATCTGCACAGTCTGCACATTTTGTACCTGCACAAATGTCAGGTGAAGAAACTGGACAAAGTGCTACTGCAAAAGAAAGCCTATGGCGGTGCATTTCACACAAGCACATTTGTTTTCAAATATTGATACATACAAAATTTAAATCACCTCATGTTATTGTTTGTTGTTTCAAATTTACACAATTTTAAGTGACATATGTTTTGTGAAATCATAATTTTTGGCAAGAAGGACCTCATGAAACTATTACAGCTTTAGTCATGAATATGCTCAAAGATATTACAACTCACAGCACAAGCTTGAGCTGGAACAGAGTCAAAATTTCGTGACTTACCTCCCCTTTTTAAGCAATCTATGTTAAACTTTTTACAGTTACTTCCCTGAGATAGGCAATCTAAGACAACCTTCTGGAAGGGACATTAACTAAACAAACAGTTCCATTACACTGAAGACTGACTGACTGACTGAGTTTGGTTTTACGCCGCTTTTAGCAATATTCCAGCAACATCACGGCAGGGGACACCAGAAATGGGCTTCACACATTGTACCCATGTGGGGATTCGAACCCGGGTCTTCTGGCGTGACGAGCCAACTCTTTAACCACTAGGCTACCCCACCGCCCCCATTACACTGAAGACTTACAGTAAACATGTCAAAAGGATGGTCACATTTTATATTACATAGTTTACAGATTTACAAACAAAATATTCTTTCTATTACGTTTGTGAGGGTCTGCTAATTCTGGTGGAAACAGTGCATCAAATTTACCATATTTACTGTAAAAATAGTTTGTTCTGATTTTTAAAATTTCATTTCAAATCCATCAAGAGCATCAAGATAAATATACATCAATATATTTTTATAATTATTATTAATTATTAACTCTATTATTAAGCTTTTAACTTTGGTCTGTGACACAGTAAACAAACACAAATAATACAGTGTAACCAACATCATATTGAAATACTCTCTTAAAAGTTCAAATGAATTGCATTGTTGTCATGTTATCACAATATACACATATTTCAGGTAGTGCAGATAATATCACACTTGTCCTGAGATAAAACATTTCTACCCTGGTCTATATAAATTTGTTAAAGTAAGATGGATATATTAAGTTCAACAAAAACAAAATAGTGATTTACTGACAAATTGGATAATCCCTAATCTATATTATGAAGTCCTACTGTATATTGAACTGGAGACCACAGCACCAGAAGGTTGGTCATGACAGTTAACAACTTTACTTTCACAGCCATTTCACACTGCACTTCCAAAGTAATCTGGAAGCTTCTTCTCATCAAAATCAACCATTTCCATTGAGAGCAGTAGGGCCGTAGTTTGATCAATTGGTCGCATCATACCACAGTGCCCTTGATACGCGATGTTTTAATTGGTTTGTTGTTTAACGTTGCACTCAGCAATATTCCAGCTGTATGACGGCGATCTGTAAATAATGGAGTCTGGACCGGACAATCCAGTGATCAAAAGCATGAGCATCAACATACGTAATTGGGATACAAAGACGTTTGTCAACCAAGTCAGCAAGCCTGACCACCGATTCCTGTTAGTCACCTCTGACAAGCATGGGTTGCTGATGTGTTCCTGTCTGACCTTCAGCATGAAGTGGAGAAAACAAGGCTGGTCAGCTTTGAGTCAGTAAACTCTGTCTTAATGGGGCATTCATATTTAAACACGGCTGTCTGGACTAATACAAGCAGCCATACACGTGTGCACGATTCTATGAAAGGGGACTTATCCTGAACAAGATGTTAAACCCCATTTCACACCACCACCAACTCTGACTGTTGAAATTAGTGTTTGACACTGAAATGGTCCTGGGATGTGTGGTCCGATGTGTGGAACATGAATAGTACCAGGGATGAGAATGGGTCAAGAATGAGCCAAGGGTCTTGGGGGCCGCAGGTTTGGACGACTCACAAGAATGACCCCAGCATCATCCCTGTAGTACTAGATGGAGACAATTCCAAAAATAGTAAAGAAAATCAATGGTTATTTCGTTTCTACATGACCTAGGACTACAAGTAGCAGTTTTAATATTTCTATCTCAATAATAAAATTTGCTATGCAATTCAGAGGGAAATAATAACTAAAAACATTAACTTTATTCTAATTTTGTATAAAACGATGCATAACAATTAATAAAAAGAATGCTTATAAATTTCCTGGGCTTATATACAGCTTCTTATATATTTGTCATCAGATAATTAATATGCAAATTTATGCATGTGTTCTGACTCCCTGGTACCCATATATACAACTTGCTGAAAATGTGGGGAAATAACTTTGAAGAAAGAAATGTATGTACATGTGTTTTAATTTATCAGTGTGTATATATATATATATATTAACAGTTGGATTGTGTGATATTTCTAAAAGGCAACCAGGAATTTGACATTTGATCGTTAACATTTTCGTAATTGGCACTGTCATGGTTACAGAAACAACAGAAATCATGTTCACTATATACAGATCATGGTGAGAAATTCTGGTGTTTAAATATACATGCACAGCTCGCAGTCGAACAGTATGAAATCTACCACACAAGTGTCAATCACCCAATCAGCTGATCACAATAATGAATGAAGATGGAGGTATGGAGTGATACAGTCACACAAACTGGTAGTTTTCTCGGGGGGACATGGAGTGGCATGCGACGCGACACGTCTGTGACATCTTCAGCATCATACTTCTTTGTCCAGTCAATCCTACTGGGTCGCAGTAACCCACAGCATCGTACGTCCAGCACATCGTTCAAATTCCTGACAATGCCACGGCTGAAACAATCAACACAAGAGCATTGTAGCTCAGAAGACTGAGTGAGTTAACATTTAACGTCACCTCGGCAATATTTCAGCCATATAGTGACGAAGCTCAGAAGAGCATTTTGACAATCCTATATACAACTGTGAATAGAGATGTACAAGATAACAACTTCAGCGATAAATCTAAATGAACATATTTTCTTTTCCTTTGCTTTTTAACAACTTGAACACCTTGTGGAATCAATGAAATCATGAAGAGTCAACTATCACTGAAAAAGATGCTTGCCTGTACAGTGGACTCCCTCTAAACCGAGCCAGTAAATTTCCACAGTCACTGGCCCACCTGGCTAGTGATTTTTCATGGGGTCATTTTGTAAATATAGCATGAAATCTTTTTCTTAGTTTCTACATTCAGATTTCGGGCGAGTGAATTATTTTGTGGGCATAGCTAGCCCAGCTGGCTAGCAAAATTTGGAAACTATTTTGCACACTATTTACACTATACATATACCGAGGCGAAATGATAGTTGGTGGCACTTGGCATGCATACAACAGTGGGACAAGTCAAGCAAATGATTTAACCACAAGGCCACATTGCTGTCTTTATGTTATCACACCATTAGCCTTTCAGCTCTGCAAGAGTTCTTCCAAAAATACTTACTGGAATGGACTAACAATCTTCGGTGGCTGACGGTCTTCTGGGGGGCCATGACTGTGGCCATGACCTTGTTCCTGACCATGACTGTGACCGTGACCGTGACCGTGACCATGTCTCTCATTGGCATACTTATGGAAGTGGGTATATCGTCCCTGGTTGAGACGTTCATTTGATGTCATGCCCAGCCACATGATCTGAAAGCAGGAAGTATGGTCAGGACTTTGTCATTTCCTTTCTGATATTCAGGTCACCATTATTAAGACTTGAGCAAGGGAGGGCTCATTTATTACTGGGGGTGGAGGTTGGGAAAACAGAGATTTTAGATGACCTTCTGATGTCCTGAAATGGTGACCTTTCCTAAATTCATGTCCTAGTTTTGCATGACACTCTCTATATCCTTGTATGGCCCTATCCGAAAAGACAAAATGCAAAAGCACTTTATATATATACATATGACAAATGACTGGTCTCTTTCATAGAGAAAAATTTAGGTAAATAGTTATATAATGGGAAGTAAGTGTAACATATGTTATATTTGAGATTATACTTTCTTAGTAAAGTACAGATTCTAGTAAGAGTGTTTATTCTGATTGTCTTCAAAATTCTCCATACTTTACCTGTTTGGTTGCTGTTTAACACATCACTCAGAAATTTTCAAACCAAATAATGTTAGCCTGTCAGTCATTGAGTTGGGTCAATTTAGTAACTGATGTTTTCGTCACTCAGTATTAAATGCAACTTTCTGGTTGAGACGTAAAGGATTTTAGTGTCAGAAGATAATGTAACTTACCTGATAAAGTTGGCATACAAACAGACAGGTGACCCAGAATATATGACCAAAAGCATTGATGGCAATCCAGCCCACCCATGGAGACCTCTTGAAGATCTTGTATATAACGCCAGTGATACCATCTTCGTAGATATCAAATGGGCACTCATGTCTCCAGACTGAAATGACAACATTTCACACATTGAGTGAATGAGTGATTTGGTTTGGATGCTGCTTTCAGGTGTATTCTAGTTCTATCGTGGCATTTGACATACTGCCCTTTGAGCATGTACCTTGTGGATGGATACAGCGCTTCATAAATACTCATCATTAGGGCAGACCAATATTATTTCTTGTTTTACGGATTTTTGTCCTCAGAAAACCCAAGAGGCAGGAAAAAATAATAATAATAATAACAAAGTAAAAAAACAGAGTAATATTCCTTCGAAATACTCAAAGTATTTTATTTTGGCAATTCATAAAGAGTATATGGGGCAAAAAATACAATCTTTAAAAAACATTTCTTGTAAATTTACATTTTTGGCCAATAAAAATATTAGGATTTTATTTTTTGAGCTGGGAAATGTTTATTTTTTTTCTTATTCTTGAAAAAATACGACAGGTGGATCCGTAAAACAAGAAACAAAATAGGTCTGGCCTTATTAAAGGAAAGTCCAAAGTGAAGCACATTTTTGACATTTACTACTGTAATGAAGCCTCGTATCTTACCATCAAACCAAAATGTGCCCTCATTCATAGTTTAAATTGGACCAAGATCAAAGTAAAAGTGTAGAAAGTATTATCAAACCACTATTTCTGGAATGATGCTACTCACAGAGGAAGATACCATGGAGACACCAGCCCAGCATGGCCATGAGGAAGAAGAGGAAGCCGAGGAAGTACTTGTGGTTGAACGCACCTGGAGGACAAGACATAATCATAGAATGTTGTGGCAGTGTTATTCATTGTGTAACAGTGTGTGAGTGAGTATGGGTTTATGCAGCTTTTAGCAATATTCCAGCAACATCACCACAGGGACACCAGAATGGTTTAACAATGTTCATAGTGTAATACATTGTACCTTGACATTCAGTAGGGAGCCATGGTGTGCTCGATATTTAGACAAAGCTCTGGAATGTACTTCCACCTAGTACGCCTTGTCTAGTGTCAAGTGGGTCATTTTCAACATGATTGGTAGTGGGACAACTACAGCTATTTTCACTAATGTGATTGTACTGAAATAGTAGTAAAGCAACCTTAAGGACTGAGAATTATATCAATCAATGTATCCTCAAAGATTGTCACATTCCTCCCCATCGCTTTTCACACCTAAGGGAACTAACTCATCAAAGGGAACTAATCTAAAGTTGTCATAATCCTGGCTAACCAACCACACAGGCATGTTTAAAATTTCCATATGTATTATTTACAGCTAATTGCAACTATTGAAACTATTGATTGTTATGCAAACTATCTATAATACTGTCAGTATCTTTAAATTCCTGGGGACATAGTACTTCCGTTGGGCAAACACTTGCAATGTTTTCTAGTCTGATGTTTTATCATTCTCCTGGTGACTATAGTCTGTTTGTCTCAAAATCGGACCAATGAATTGCAATCTAACTCAGAAACTACTAAACATAGAATACTCAATGAAACACTGATCATAATCAAAACATCAGACCAACTCTGTGATTTTTTGGCAGAATTTATGTCCTAAAAATAAAAAAGTTGTTTGACAAACTATCATTAAAATTTTGACACAGTTCACTATTTGTTACGAGGGAGGACTGCAAAGTATATGTTTTAGTTAACATACCAACACAGTTGTCAACCCAGGGACAGTGATGATCAAACTTGGCTACACAGCAATCGCAGATGGAGCAATGCTTCGACCTGATTGGTCGACGTATCAAGCATGTGCTGCAGAACTGGGCCAAGGTCAAGGTCTGTCTTTCAGCTAGGTCAAGAATAGTCTGGAAACAGGAAGTAAGGACATAATTAGCTCATAGGAGAAACAGATACATTTCAAGCCGACTTAAACCGATCTCACTGTCGCCACTGCGATATCCAGTATTCATGGCAAATATAGCTGAATTTGAAAGGATAGAAAGTTGAAAGTGAACTGGAACTCGTAACTTATGGTAGCTGACAGTAACCATGGTACCACAACCATTTAGGTAATAATACAAGAGTGAGGATCTTTGATGATTAACAAAGATATCACAAGATCAGCAAGGGAGCAGTTTGGACAATTATGTCATTTATGTTGTATTTCAGGAACAAAGGCAGATAAGAGTCAAATTCCTCATAACAGTACTAGAGAGTTGGAAGTTATGCACTGTGTAGAGGTTTACCACTCTCATAAGCACTTGCCCAAGGATCTTATCTAACATCTAAATTCAAATCTGTGAAGATCCTAGCAAGGGAGACAACTCTGCACACCTTGATCTTTTCTTCCCTTTCACTCTTGAGGTATCCTGGGTCAGTCCGCCATGCTTTCCAGAAGTTGTAAGTCAGCAGTAATGTGTTGACAATAAAAGCAACATTCTTCCATGTGTCGCCCGCATCTAATACCGATAAGGACTTTCATCGGTTCCACAGAAGTGGCTCACCGTTACTAAAATCTTAAAACAGTTGGTTTCATACAAATGCTGTATTATATAACACATGAACCGTAATAGAGAAATAGCATGGCACCAGAACAAAAACTAATTTAAGTTTCCTATTACTGTAAGTTTAAAAATAGAGTAGATAGGTAGGGCCTTTTTCCTGCCCATTTTTCCCTAGGCTACCCCTGCCAGGAGTGAGTGATCGAATATGGTTTTATGCTGCTTTCAGCAATATTCCTGCATTATCACAGTGGGGGACACCAGAAATGGGCTTCACGACATTATACTCATGTGGGGAATTGAACCCGGGTCTTCGGCGTAAACAGTGAATGCTTTAACCCCAACTACCCCCCACTTCTCCGCACAAGTTAGGAGCATATTCGTGTGGGAAGGATACAAGGGTAGAGGTAGGTAAACCATGTGTAGTACATCCAGAACTTGGTGGCCAGGTAGATGGACACGGGCATCAGCTGGGTCACATTGTCATCGAAGAAGAATCTGCACATACACAATCATCTTTTATTCAGTCTCAACAGATTTCATTTTACACAGCACTTTCTTCATGCTCTAAACTTTCAAAATTGTAAGCATGATCCAATATGAGGAAAATATTACCAGCCTTATTTCTTTTCATTTCAAAATTATCATATATTACTAATTAGGGATAACCAAACTCGACAAAAGTTTGATTTCTGATAAATCCTATATAAAATACAAAAACACTTGGCTAATAACCCCTACACTTAATAATACACCATATCAGTTTAATGACACAGGAGATAAAGGAGACACAGTCATCTAAGGATCTTCAAATCACTTTGAAGAGAACCGCCTCCATGGTGTAGTGGTTAGAGCATCTGCCCGGAGAGCCGGAAGGTCGGGTTTGATCTCCGCAGCATCATGCCGAAAATATGGTACTGGTTGATCCCTGCCTGGCACTCGGCATTAATGGGTACAACAAGGATTGGTCGTAGATCTCGGAGTCAATTTAATGTGTCTTGAGTGGGGTATTCATGCTTAACTGAGGCATGGTATCTCAGTGAGCTAGCACTATAAAACCAACTTCAGTCTGGGCTAGTACAAGCAGCCACACATACACACGCATGTACGTCATCATATGGGTGAAATATTCTTAAGTACGACGTTAACCCCCATTTCACCTCACCACACTTTGAAGAGGTGTGTCCCTTGGGAAGCCCAAATCCTGTGATAAATCCTTATTTGTCCCAGTTATCAGTCCAGGTTAGTCAATACCATACCCATGGGTCCACCAAGGTGATAACCCTCTACAGCCTGCATCAATCGGGCTTTCTTCGCACACCAAAGGGACACGCTTCATATAACCCAAATACTGTTCCAATCAACATTAAACCAACTCCCATATTTATGTGGACTGTCAAACTAAAGTGGCACTGTTTATAGAAACATAAACTGGTGAGTATGGTGAGTGTGACACTAGAAGTCCCCGCATCATAATCAGGGCGATTATTTGATTTAAATAAGAAGCAGCAGATCCTGCCCACCTAGGGAGAAAACTCTGCATTGCAAACTGTGAGCCTTGATTATACTAATCAAGATCAGACAAATTAGGTTTTAAGCCGATTGGATTTTGATTTGGCAGTTCAAGGTAGAATTCACCAAAAGGTGGATGATCAAAGATGAGTGAGTGAAGATTTACGCCGCTTTTAGCAATATTCCAGCAATATCACTTTGATAGACACCAGAAATGGGCTTCACACATTGTACCCATGTGGAGAATCAAACCCGGGTTTTTGGTGTGATGAGCTAACGCTTTAACCACTAGGCTACCCCACAGCCCAATCAAAGACGAGGAAAATAATACCATCAAGTCAATAATGTGAAGCGATCAATCTGTCTGGTTTCTTACATTGTTGAGAGTTTCCACACTCCAAACGTGATGAGGTAAAAACCCAGTTTTTCCACCCAGGTCAAGGACGTTTCCGGGATGTAACCAATCACAAACAGGGCAACAAAGGGGAAGATGTATGCAAAATACTTCCGTACTGTCTGAAAACAAACCCACATGTACCATTTTTATAGTGTAAGGATGATTCAACAAGAGAACAGAGGCTGCAAGTACATTCGGTTTGTCACATTGGTGACTATATTTTGACCAAGTCAGGTATTAACACATGAAAATAATAATTTGTAACTATATTTATACTTCCTCCATACTTATATAGCAAAAGATCATGTTTCAGTGAGTGAGCTTAGTTTTATGCCACACACAGCAATATTCCAATTATATGGCGGCGGTCTGTAAATAATCGAATCTGGACCAGACAATCCAGAGATCAACAGCATAAGCATCGATCTACGCAATTGGGAACCGATGACATGTGTCAACCAAGTCAGAGAGCCTGACCACCCGATCCCGTTAGTCGCCTCTTATGACAAGCATGGGTTACTGAAGATCAATTCTAACCCTGACTTTCACGGGTCCCATGTTTTAACTGTAATGACACAACTTCAATTACTTCAAAGGAATTTGTTTGTCTGCAAAGACAGTACAACTGTGAAGCTTGTCACATACTTCCAGTGAGTTAGTGACACTCCCCTCCCCACTTCTCAGTAACCCTTGTCTACATCAAAATGTCCACAAAGATTCCAATTGTAAATGACAATGTAACATTTTTTTTGTAACCTAAACTAATATTATATCTTGAAACTGAAATAAGAAAATACAGAGCAAAATATTTAATGTTCTGGAAAAATATTACAAATTTTGCATGCAGTCAGAAACATTGTTCGGCATCTGAAGCAAAAGTATTTATTTACTTCAATTTTGCCCATCATAATCATCTTTTTTTTAATTCAAAAAAGACTTAAAATCATCAATAATCCCCTGTCTGTGTGATTGTATTTACCTTGTCTGTGGTGTAAGACTGGAAGACATGTGACCGATCCAGGCCCTTCTCATACCTCACTCTCCGCAGTCTCTTCACCAGGCCTATGTTCTTGGTGCTCACAGCAACTTCGACAGGGGTTTGGCCCTGGAAAAACATTAACCAGTATGTAGATGCACAGTGCCAGATCTCCAATCTTAGTCAATATATATGACGATGAAGAGTCTGTTTTCCAGTATAGAGCAAATAACTCTTGGCTGCCAGGGTGCCGTTCCACTAATAGATCTTATCTAAGATCAATCTAAATAAGTAACGCCAACTTTACAAACGTCTTAGCTACAAGTTCCACCCGTTCCACTAACCAATCGTAGGCCGATCGTAGCCGGTCCCGATCTTACGACTGTGCGAGAGATAGAAACATGCAAGGCACGAGTTATCTCCCTTTGCATAGCCTAGCAGACGATGAAAATAGTTTTGGAACCAAGTGCAATCACAGAGAAGAAACCTCTAGTGAGAAAGAGAAGTTTTTCTCCTGAGTAATATCAATTCTGATTGACAAAGGGCCAGGAGTACCGAAGAAGTCTAAAGATTCTATCTGGGAGAAGATTGCCACAATCATCTGATAATCATCATCTGATAATGTATCTAAAAAACATGCTAACAGTGTAATGCTCGCTCTTCAACTAGAATAATGAAAGCCACCATTTTGATTTCTCTACGATTGATTTTAGTGATCCCAAGTTGGTCATGAGCAACTTAGACTTTGGATCTGAACTTTATGATTGACTTGGGTAAGATTGGTTAGTGGAACGGTATGCTGATCGTAACGACATGCTAAGATAGGGATTTTAGATGTTTACGATTGACGTAGGGCTAGGATCAGTTAGAGGAATGGCACCCAGGTACAAATCCTCTTCCATACCAAGTGTTATTAGATGCTTAGGCAGGGGTTTACCTTGAGTCCTGTTTTTGAGCGTCCCTGGGACTCATACTCTTAAATTTCATGGGTCCCGGACAACAAAATGCAGGTCCCATACACTTAAATACTAGTAATATTATTATTAATACTGTTATTGTATTGTGTATCATGATCATCATTGCAAATGATACCATAACCCAGCTAGTAGCAAACTCTTTGATAACTTGATTGTAATTTTTACAAAAAGTATTTGGACTTTTTCTGCGCCCCTGTGGATGTGCTAATAAATTTCGTTGCGTCCATTGTCAATTTTTATGTGTATAGGACACAGGAATTCGCGTCCTGTAAATCCCTGATTAGACTTTGGTAAAATCCACAAGCACAGTAGTCACACGGTCCTGACAAAACTAGAAACAGAATCAGGACAAACTGCTTGTCAGTCCAATGGTTACAGGTGTCTTTCCAAAGTGAATTGAGTTGAGGTGAGATTGGGTTTTAACGTGGTGCTTGAGAATATTTCGCTCATATGACGACGTGCATGCGTGTGTATGTGTATGTGCGGCTGTTTGTACTAGCCCAGACTGAAGCTGGTTTTATAGTGCTACCATGCCGCAGTGACACATGAATACCCCACTCAGACACATTATACTGACTCCGAGCCGACCAGTCCTTGTTGTACCCATTAATGCCGAGCGGCAGGCAGGGCCCAACAAGTACCATATTTTAACGTCTTTAGGTATGACGCGGTTGGGGATCGAACCCGCGACCTTCCGCTCTCCGGGCGGACGCTCTAACCACTACACCACGGAGGCGGTTCCAAAGTGAATTGTGAAATCTTAGAATACTGTTCCACCCATATGACAATGTTCAAAGAAAATGGGAAAAATATGCTTCGTCACAAAATCTTGCCTCACAAGTTATGAGATATGGTTTAGTTGAAGTTTTCTCACTACATAGACCCCTAACCTGCTCATCTCTCTAACTGTCTCCATGGCAGAGTCTGTAGAGCTTAATGCTTAATTAATTCTTACTGATGTATGAAAAGGTGAGTGAATCACAGTAGAGTGTCATGTCCCTTTGAACTGTATTCCTGTCAAATTACAATATGCCAGCCAAATATGTGAGGAAAGCCTGGTCCATGGCCTTTCCTGCTGTGCCCAAGGGACACAACTCTGCTCCACAAATCCACAAATCTTAGATCCGTAAGGGGCTTGCAAACCTAACAACATAATTCAAGTTGCACTGGAATAAGAACCCTCAATTATCGGTTTCTGGCTTTTTCCATGGGACAATACCCTGCACAAGAAATAGACTTTGCAATAGACTGGTAAGGTGCTTTTAAACCAAAGACATAATTGCAGTGCACTGGAATAAGAACCCTCACTTACATGTTTTGGGGATCCCTAGGGGACACAACTCTGCACAACAAATAATTAAGCCTCATGCAACGGAATACCCTTGAACAAAACAACATTAGGGACCGTTCATAACTGATGGCTACGGGGACTGATGATGATTGAGGGGGGCATCCATTTTGTTCTTGGGAAGGGGGTCATCAGTACTGGGTTGGGGGTCATTGATTTTGTACATGACATGCAGGGGGTCACTTACTTTATCCATAATCTTGAAGGGGAGGGGGTTCACATTGTACATGCTTGCCCATAAAAATCATCATCACCCCTCCTTGGCATAAATTATGAACGGTCCCTTAGCACTAACACTGACATAAGTTTGTTAACGACTGGGAGTTACAGTCACCTTAGCGCTCTGTGTACTGGCATCCTGGGCCAAACAGTGAAAGAAATGCCACTGTTATGCATCACTTTTTGTTCTGATGAATAGTGTTATTTATGCTATTCCTATAAGTCGAACTTGTGCCATGGAAACGCCAAAAATATTTGATTCAGAATTCCAAAACTACCAAAAGGCACCACTACACCACCAGATCAATCTATGTGCCATGTTTGGCGACGACATATTGAACGGTTTTACAGTTCTGCTCCGAAAAGAGCACTACCACCAATTTCAGGCTAAGTCGAACTTGTTGCCATGGAAACGCCAAAAATATTTTAATTCAGAATTCCAAAACTACCAAAGGCACCACTACACCACCAGATCTATCTATGTGCCAAGTTTGGTGAAGACATATTGAACGGTTTTAGAGTTCTGCTCCGGAAAAGAGCACTACCACCAATTTCAGTCTAAGTCGAACTTGTGCCATGGAAACCCCAAAAATATTTTATTCAGAATTCCAAAACTACCAAAGGCACCACTACACCACCAGATCTATCTATGTGCCAAGTTTGGTGAAGACATATTGAACGGTTTTAGAGTTCTGCTCCGAAAAGAGCTACCACCAATTTAAAATGGCACATACCTTAGCGTTTTCAATATTGAGATCAGCTCCTGCATCGAGCAGCATCTTCATGACAAGGTTGTTGCCTGTCTGTGCTGCCCAGTGTATGGGAGTGTTGCCCTGGTATTTGTCAGCCTTGTTCACGGAAGCTCGAATGTCAACAGTAGCCGCACAGGATCATACCTACTGACATACCCAATTGAAGATTACTGCTGTCTTGAACAAATTTATATCACATCATAACATAAGCAGGAATGCCCTGATACTCAGCACCATGTCTGCAGCAAATGTCATAAAAATTCCAAAATTGAAAATAAAAAAATGTCCTAATTCATATATACATAAATCCCAATTTTGAAAAAGCACTGCACTGCAAGCACTGACCCAAACACCCTGTATGAGGCCCACATGAGAGCGGTCATGCCGTTCCTGTCCACCATGTCCACATCTTGACCCTTAGCAATAAGGTAGGCCACAATGGCTGTGTGACCAAACTGGGCGCCAAGATGGATGCAGCTACACCCTGAAAGTAAAGTCAAGAATAAGCCACAAACAAATAACGAGTTTCAAATTTAATTACAACATTTGAATTCCTTCCTGATGCCGAATCCTGATAGTGATAAGCAGAAATATCTCACCTTCTCCATCTCTGAGTGAAGGATCAGCACCATAGGCCATAAGCTGAACTACCATGGACAGGTGGCCTTGTCTGAAACAATCATCATCCATCAGAGTGAGTGAGTTTAGTTTTATGCCACTTTTAGCAATATTCCAGCAATATTACAGTGGGGGACACCAGAAATGGGCTTCACACATTGTACCCATGTGGGGAATCGAACCCGGATTTTGGGCGTGACGAGTGAGTGAGTGAGTTTAATTTTACGCTGCACTCAGCAATATTCCAGCTATATGGCGGCGGTCTGTAAATAATCCAGTCTGGACCAGACAATCTAGTGATCAACAGCATGAGCATCGACCTTCGCAATAATTTATTGGGAACCGATGACATCGGCGTGACAAGCGGATGCTTTAACCACTAGGCTACCCCAACGCCCCTCAACCATCAGAGCATGTGCAGTGAGTGAGAGTGAATGTTGCTTCATGCATAGTCTGCAATACTCCAGCAACAACATTACAATCAGTAAATAATCCACAGAGACTGACAGACAAACAAGCAGTGGGTAAGGATGAACACGAACTACAACTTCCGTTTTTTCTTTCTTGTTTGGTTATTGTTTAATGCTGGACTCGGCGATATTCCAGCTATGACGGCGGTCTGTAAGTAATCGAGTCTGGACCAGACAATCCAGTGATCAACAGCATGAGCATCGACCTACACAATTTGTGTCCACCAAATCAGCAAGCCTGACCACCCAATCCCGTTAGTTGCCTCTTACAGCAAGCTTGGATTACTTAAGACCAATTCTAACCCAGATCTTCAAGGGGACTACAACAACGGGAGATGTGAATGTTCACACTTGTATATATGGTAAATACCATTCTTTCAAGCATCACCAATGATATGCTTTGAGAATGATCATGTTCCACTAATGCTTCCTCTTTCAGTCAGGTATTATGAAAAATGTAAGGTACCGGGGGCCTATTCAACACAAAAATGGTCATGTTAGTCTAAACTTTCCCATTTTGTAAGTTTATTGTGGATCTTTTCAGCAATGAAATCTGCATGAGAATCACCACTGTAGCCAAAATTATTGAAACAGTATGATAACCAGGAATTTTCAAATCACCGGTCAATCATTCAAAGTCAAAATCTAAATCATCACATCATGCTCTGTTACCTTGTTGCCCAGTGTAGTGGGGTAGAATTTAGGTCTCCGCCAAACTTGTCTACAACCGCACCCTTGGCTATGAAATACCTGAAAACACACAAAAATTTCAGATTACAATTGCAACTGTTCACAAAGTAACCAATAGGTAAAAATTAAGATGGAAATAGTAAATATACACTGTTAAATTCATAAGTTTTCCCAGATTAGACTGAACATAATAATATTCTGATTCCATGGCTTAATCAATTTTACATTAATATGGCTAATAAGTCATAGATTATTAATCAAGTGTATTCTGTATGAGCCAATTTATGTTCTTTATTCATTAAATTTACAACATAGAAACATGGAAGTAATTATCTGTTTGTCCTATTAAATGATTGTGTAAACAACCCAATAACTCATTGTGCCAAGTGACTGGCAGTCACATTTCCCTACAGATCCATCCCACAACAGGAACCCCCATCAAAACGTAAAATGTAAGTAGTTTATTGGACAAACAGACACTGAAACACTGAAGAAGTTCTGCTAGGAGCAATGTCCTGGACCATGATAACAAGTGTATCAGGCTGTCCAACATATGATAAAGTCTATCATCAAGTCAAGTTTCTCATTTCTTCTTAACCAAGCCAACCATCATGAAACTTACCCTTACTAAAAATAGCTATCTTTTCCTTTGGAACCTGCACTGAAATATTTACAGTCGAGAAGTATCCACATGACAGGATGAAAATATACATTTAGAGATACATACTGTATCTTGGGCAATGTATCGTCAAATTGCTATATCATTTCAGGCATAGAATTTTAATCTATGGACCCCTAAAACTAATCAATGGTTTTCTCAATATTGACACTGCAGGAAGCATATCTGAAGTGACTAATCATAGCTGAGAGTCCGCTAAAATGACTAGACTTACTTCATAGTGACAGCCCTAATATGCCCAAACTGAATCATCATAAACTCACTTGACTATCTGGGCCCTGTTGTTTATAGCGGCCCAGTGAAGGAGGCTGACATTCTCTTTATCCATCTGGTTGACATCGAACCCTGCCTCAATCAGCTCCCTGACGCGATCAAAAGCACCATACTGGGTTGCCCTGACGATGTCAAAGTTTTTAAAGTCCTCTGGACCAGGCACAGCCTGAGGAGCGGATGCAATTTCAGCATCACTGGGAAGATCTGCTCCATGTTCAGTCTATAACAAAATAGTTTTTATACTTATCATGGGTAGTTGACATTATTATTATTTATGATGATCATGTACATGGGAGAAGTTTCCTAAGTTTGTCAATACAACACTACCATGGTGTAGAGAGCCTTGAAGGTGGATGGACATTTTCCAATTTGTCAACTATATATTTTATGATTGAAACAAATACAATTGTACACCAGCGTAGGAGGTGTATTTTGATATAGGTATGAGTATTAGACACACTACAACTCTCTTTCATGACAACAATCTTTGGTGGATCATACATACATGGATTTTTTTCTTTAACAAACAACCAACGTTGCACAAAAGCCCATGCTATGCGATCTCGCAAATATCCAACTCACATTAAAAAAAACTTCAGTATTTCATTCACACAAACATTTTGATATCTATATGGCTAAAAAAATCACATGCTTATTAAAAGAAAACCCATATCCTATTGAAATTTTTGCAATTTGTCACAAGCCATGAGTTCCTCGAATCAGTTTGCTCATCTTGAACCCTATTTACTAAATGCATGTGCAAGCAGATAAATTAAGGAAAGACTCAACTACATGGGAATCAGATTGTTGTAGGATTTTATGTATATGTGTACTGGTAAGCATGGTAATGACACATCTACTGAACATTGTTATCATGGTTATAGAAACTTACACACAGGCAAGTTTGGTTTCTACCATATCTGTTACACTGGAGAATCGAACATGTTCTTTAGGAGGCGGGTACCCTTCATGAAAACTTGTCATGAAATGAAAACTATTGATCATGATACAAAATGATTAGCCTATTTCATCTGCTTAACTCTCTCACAACCATAAAATTGTCTGTTCGTTTAAATATGAATTATAAGGAAAAGAAGCATATATGAATTATTAAATCATTGTTGTTTCTATAACTGTATCACATTCAACAACAAAATCACACGAAATCGGCAATATGTTCGCTGTCACACACGGTAAACTGCGAAACACTGCATATCATGAATTACAAACTTGAAAACGTGTGATTTCGCAATCCTCTTTTGACTCCATTATCCATTACAGAATAGTATTGTTGAGTACTGAGAGGTGGGAGGAGTTAACGTCCAGTACTGATGAAAAATAAGGATAGAGTCCCTAAATACATCCCTTTTCGCGTCTGTAAACCAGTTGTAGGAATATGCGATTACAGAGACCGAATAGAGGGAGTAGTCTCTCAGGCGCAGCGACTGTCACTCTCTCAAGCCTGTTTCAATCTATATTCTGTTCGTTCTTTAGATTAACAAGGTATTTAAACTTGTCATGCAAAATGTATAACAGACATGTTTCATATTTTAAACTTGAAAAAGCATGCTCATAACTCTAATTTGCTAACCTTCTCCAGCAAGGGCTGTATAGGATTACAAGTAGGATCTTTCTCCGCCATTTTGCATTTGTTACCGGTAGGTACGCACTGCTAGACTTCCGGCGCTTTTGATTGGTTGAAAACCGGTCTTGGCAACTCTTATTCTTTTTATCTATGACTGAAAACGAAAGCAAAATGTTGTACAATCTCTGCATAATTAACACTGCTAACCAACCCATAAACATTCGGGTCAAATCTTTACAACCTTGCCTCTCGTAAACGGCGAGTAATGCTGTTTTGTCTCAGTGGGTTATGCCTGTAGAATATTATGGCATAAATGAAGGCGATTGACAACTGGCAGAACAACTTTTTCTTCAGATTTACGTGTACAAAAAATATATATGTGTAATATTTGATAGTGAATGTCAGACCCTATTTCATAAATCTCTATTAATTTTCAACAGGGGCTGAAATAATGAGTTTATATAAACAAACATTAAACGTCAAAAAATAAGAGATAACCGTTAGTCAAAAACTTGAAATCCTTTGCCGGGGGTAGGGGTGTATCATTATATACCATTTATGGTAATATTTGTGAAAATCATTCTTTGTGACAATCAGAAAAGATATCCTCAAAAGTATTCGAACTGTTGATATTAATGTTGATAAAACATTGATATAATGTATGTACATTTGTACTGAACAAAGGGTGGTTTTTTTATATGTTTATCATATTCATAGTTTTGAAACAGAGAAGTGAAAATTTATTTCATAATAAAAAAACAAGAAATAAAGAGAATACTATGATTTTAATGGAGGCATCATTTATTTATTTTGGGAAAAAATCCCATTTACAAGACGGTCGCTGGCGACGTTCTTTCACAAGTAATGATAAATTCGAGCAGGCACTTATGTCAGAAACCCTGTTGTTGAAAGACGAAGTCAGTCCCAGTCACAATACTACTGCAATAATGTCACAAAAGTATTTCACAAACTGTCGCAGTGCTCCAAATATTCACCTCTACTGTCGAGCCTCCCCCGTAGTGATTCCGTTGCTTAGACATATGGAAGATCACTCCTTACATGTGGAAAGAATATGTACATTATCACCATTATATGATACTGCAGATGAATACCATTGCACGTTTAATTGTGTATTTTTCAGTAAAATAAGAAGGTGCTTTTCCCCTTATTGCATTAATTGGCCATCAATTTTCAAAATGATCAAGTTATTTCAATGTGAAAATATAACTGCCCTGAGTGAGTGAGTATGGTTTTACGCCCCTATTAGCAATATTCCAGCAATATCACGGCGGGGGACACCAGAAAATGGGCTTCACACATTGTACCCATGTTGGGAATCGAACCCAAGTGTTCGGCGTGACGAGCGAACGCTTTAACCACTAGGCTACACCATCGCCCCCTATAACTGCCCTGGAGAACATCTAAGTTTAGTGGGGCGGTGGGGTAGCCGGGTGGTTAAAGCGTCCGCTCGTCACGCCGATGACCCAGGTTCGAATCCCCACGTGGGCACAATGTGTGAAGCTCATTTCGGGTGTCCCCCGCCGTGATATTGCTGGAATATTGCTAAAAGCGGCGTAAAACCATACTCACTCACTCACTCTCAGTTTAGTAGCCACATTCTTTATACAATTAAATATTATTATTATAGGATATATATATATAGCGCACATATCCAGGTAGCTAGTGCATGCTCAAGGCGCTGGTAATTTTTCCCTCGATCATTGGATGTCAATCGCAACGGCACATCGTATTATCAATCTCAACTCCCTGGGGAGTATACAACTTTTTGCAGCCACTCGGCGCACCGAGTTATTGTGGCTTTCCCATCCTTACTAGGTACCCATTCACAGCTGGGTGGACTGGGACACATAGTCACAGAAATAGAAATCTCATTGTATCTGTTTCTTCCTAGCCACAATAAAATACACTTTTGTAAACTCGTCATTGTTCTAGGTTCCTAGCCTTGAGTGAAGAAAGTACTGTTCTGTTCGGGCGGTGGGGGTAGCCTAGTACTTAAAGCGTTCGCTCGTCACACCGAATACCTGGGTTCGATTCCACACATGGGTACAATGTGTCAAGCCCATTTCTGGTGTCCCCTGCCCCGATATTGCTGGAATATTGCTAAAAGTTGCGTAAAGCTAAACCCATTCACTCACTGTTCTGTTCCAGTCCCCAGTCACTTCTGTTTGTGAGTGAGTGAGTGTGAGTGAGTGAGTTGAGTTTTACGCCGCACTCTGCAGTATTCCAGCTATATGGCGGCGGTCTGTAAATAATCGAGTCTGGACCAGACAGTCCAGTGATCAACAGCATAAGCATCGATCTGCGCAATTGGGAACCGATGACATGTGTCAACCAAGTCAGCGAGCCTGACCACCCGATCCCGTTAGTCGCCTCTTACGACAAGCATGGGTTACTGAAGGTACATTCTAACCCGGATGTTAGAACCTACACCGAAACGTCGCCCTCACAGCAATATAGAAGTTTTCCATCCATGTACTGTTATCCTTCCTTACTGCTCCAACTTCTAAATACCTCTCAAAGAAGTGCACCATGGTATTTCAGTGGGCTGGTACGAATAAACCAGCATTAGTGGAATAATCTTGTTGGTCACATTCAGCCCCATTTCATCTCACATCATTTTACAACTGACATCGCATCTTTCTTTGCAATGCATATTATCTGAGCAGAATGTTCAAGGTCCAGTTGTTACTGACGATAACGTCATGCCAGGCATCCAAGTTGACGAATGCATCCTGGACAAAAACTCAACTCTCCACAGTAACCTTTTATATTAAATATTGGAATCTGTAGAATCCTGCTTACACGACCTTTAAATGACAGTATAGAAGCTGAAGTAACACTGGAAACAAAGATGACTTGTTGGTTCCAATTTCTTTTCTTCTTTTAAAGCGACATTTGCAAGCGTTCTGGCCGCTTGTCCAGACATATTGGTTTCATAGTGCTAGCCCACTGTGGATACCATGCCTCAGATATGACGTGGATGCTCCTCTGAGACACAACACACTGACACCAAAGTGAGCTCTCCTGTTTAAAGCCATTAATGCCGAGCACCAGGAAGGGCAACAACAAGTTCCACACTTATCGTCTTTTAGGGGCGACGGGTAGCCAGTGGTTAAAGCGTTCGCTCATCACGCCGAAGACACGGGTTCAATTCCCCACATGGGTACAATGTGTGAAGCCCATTTCTGGTGTCCCCTGCCCTGATATTGATGGATTGCTGGAGTATTAAGCTCAGTCACTCACTAATTCTGGTTCCAGTTGTTCATCCATATATTGTTATCCTTCCTTACTGCTCCAACTTTTAAATGCCTCTCAAAGAAGTGCACCATGGTATTTCAGTGGGCTGGTACGAATAAACCAGCATTAGTGGAATAATCTTGTTGGTCACATTCAGACCCATTTCATCTCACATCATTTTACAACTGACATGTGACTCGCATCTTTCTTTGCAATGCAATATATCTGAGCACAATGTTCAAGATCCAGTTGTTACTGACAATAGCGTCATGCCAGGCATCCAAGTTGACGAATATATCCTGGACAAAAACTCAACTCTCCACAGTAACCTGTTATATTAAATATTGGAATCTGTAGAATCCTGCTTACACGACCTTTAAATGACAGTATAGAAGCTGAAGTAACACTGGAAGCAAAGATGACTGGTTGATTCCCATTTCTTTTCTTCTTTTAAAGCGACATTTGCAAGCGTTCTGGCCGCTTGTCCAGACATATTGGTTTCATAGTGCTAGCCCACTGTGGATACCATGCCTCAGATATGACGTGGATGCTCCTCTGAGACACAACACACTGACACCAAAGTGAGCTCTCCTGTTTAAAGCCATTAATGCCGAGCACCAGGCAGGGCAACAACAAGTTCCACACTTATCGTCTTTTAGGGGCGACGGGTAGCCAGTGGTTAAAGCGTTCGCTCATCACGCCGAAGACACGGGTTCGATTCCCCACATGGGTACAATGTGTGAAGCCCATTTCTGGTGTCCCCTGCTGTGATATTGCTGGAGTATTGCTCGGAAAGTGCAGCGTAAAACTAAACTCACTCACTCACTTATCGTCTTTTGGTAAGAGTGAGTGAGTGAGTTTAGTTTTACGCCGCACTCAGCAATATTCCAGCTGTATGGCGGCGGTCTGTAAATAATCGAGTCTGGACCAGACAATCCAGTGATCAACTGCATGAGCATCGATCTGCGCAATTGGGAACCGATGACATGTGTCAACCAAGCCAGCGAGCCTGACCACCCGATCCCGTTAGTCGCCTCTTACGACAAGCATGGGTTACTGAAGGTACATTCTAACCCGGATCTTCACGGGTAAGACGCTGTTGAGGATCGAACAACTTAACTTCCGCATTTCAGGTAGACACACTGTCTACCAAGAACACGCAGTGTAAGTACTACGAAAGTCTACATTGTCATACAAATAAAAACTAAGTGTAAAACGCACTGAATTGTGTCACATTCAGATACATGTAGTTCTGTTTGGGGTGGGTAGGTAAGCTGAGGGTTACGATCGGTGTTAGGCAGTTACGGCAAAGACCCAGGTTCGATTCCCGACATGTGCAAAATGTGCTGAGCAGATACACTTGGCATTCCGCGACGTGTGTGTGATGTGCCAGACAAATAGAGCTACGAAACACATCGACGGGGCACAATGACACACAAAGAACTAGATCACACGTGTTACCTAATAGATATATGTATATTAATAAATCATTAGGATCAAAACATATTACATGTATATCATGTTTCAATAATTCTTAAATGAGGGCAGTGGCGGATCCAGAGGGGGGGTTCAGGGGGTTCGAAACCCACCCCCGTCCCCCAACCCCGTTTGAAAATGACTTAAGATCACATTGAAGATTTGTTTTTGCGTTGGCGGAGCCAATGGGGGGTGGATCGGGGGTGTCAGGGGTTCGAACCCCCTCAACCCCCTCCTTTCAAAATTCCTGGATCCGCCCATGCATGGTAACGCTACTTGAAACCATCAGTCATAAATATCATTTATGCTTCCTAGCAACAACATGATCATGGGTTTTACAGTTCAGTTAGTGG